ATGGCTTGGGCAGAGCCTCGGCTCTCGGACCCCAAGTCCCAAGTCCCAAACTCGACACCCAAGGCCCCGAAGCCCAGAAGTTCTCATCTCGTCGCCTTGAATCTGAGGATCTGACACAAAGCGCATCCTGCAGCATGGGGCAGAAGGACACGTGTTCGACTTTTTCTCACACACGCACACAGCTGTAGCATTGTAGCCGACATCAAATAATCGAAGCCATTGGTGCCACAAGTGTTGTTGGGTTGGCTTTTGTTGTGCCATGATTGCTTTATCCCAAGATGTCTTCACCACCAGCAACTACACCGTCACCAGCACCACCAAGGCAACGACGACGACGGTTACCACTGCCGCCACTACTACTTCCACTGCTACTAGCGCCACTGTTGCCGGTACCACTACCTACTGCCACTGCTGTTGCTGCTGCTGCTACTGCTGCTGCTACTGCTACTATGACTACTACTACTACTCGTATCAGTACAAGAGCTAGCTTGTACCAGAACTCGTCATCGTACTCGTGCTCGTACTCGTGCTCGTATTGGTACCGGTATTAGTACAAGTACTAGGACGACGACGACGGCTACTACTGCGACGACGGTGGCGACAACGACTACTACTGCCACTACTGCTGCGCTTACTACTACTGCTGCTTGCTACCTGCCTCTTTCTTGCTTACTTACTTGCTTATTTGCTGACTTCTTGCTAATAACCACTCGCCACTAATCCACTACTGCTATCACCCCCGCAACACGGCCACATCCACGACAATCACCACTACCGGTACCAGTACCACTGCTACCACCACCATCAACATCATTATCATGTTCACCATATATGTATATGTATGTATATACATATATATGTATACATATATATATATGTATATATACATATATCGTGCGTGTAACTGATTCTTTTGCCGCGTCTGCTCAGTCGCGGTGACAGGATCATCCGGCAGCGCCAGGTCTGGATTCCGAGGCGCTGCAGCCATCTGCAAGACTGATTGGCGAGCGTTTGCAGCAACTGCAAAAGTTGAACCCAAGGCTCTACCCCCTCACTTCTAAATCGTGTCGTACCTTAATCTTGAATCCCGAACCCTGGGCCGTCTGAAGCCCGATGCATCTGCGGCTGTGTTTGACGCTGGTTCTTCGGCAGGTAACGCTCGAATTTTGAGAACCAAGATGTGTTCATGTAAGGTCGAGTCTATCGCACCTGAGGTTGACCTGATGAACGAGTGACGTCATGACATAAGGGTTCGGCACTTTCGTTCGGACTGTCTACTGTGGCGTCGACCTTGATTGGATGAGGCTTGAAGTTCACACAAACTGCTGTGCATCGCAGCAACAACAACAGCCGCAACGAGTCATGCCGATTGTATTTAGTACCTCACTTGTCTCAGTCGGAACCTGAATCATTGTATATAGGCGTCGGTGGTCGTTATCGTCGTGGTGGTCGTCGTCTCAAGTTTGCAGCAGCTGCCGCGCCAGCAGTACTAAGCACGCGCAGCACAGCACCAGCAGGATCAGGCCTGACCCCCACTTAGCAGCACCAGAAGCTCCAGTGGCAGCTGGCAATTGTGCTCGAGGGCGCTCGTGGCTCGCAGGTTCTCCTCCAAGAGGACACTACTTGCTTGATGTTGTCGCGCTTGTCTCCAAAGGTGACGGTCTCAAAGTTGCTGAAGCTCGGCCACCGATTAGTTTTCCTGTCGTTCTCGGTCTCTGCGTCGGGGTGCTGCCATTCAACAGGGCCTTTGAATGTTGTACACAAAATAGGACAAGGCTAATTCCATTGGAGGCTCTGGCTTTCGGATTAAATTGCCGTGCATCTGCGCCAGCTTCCCGTGAAAGGCGAGCAGGCTCGTCGTTATCTCTCTGAAGACCCTGAAGTCTTCTCTTGCTATTCTGATAAGGCTTCAGGCAGTTGCTCATGCATGCAAATGCTTGCCTTGCCGTGAGAGTGTGCAGAGCTGTCCTTTTTTTTAGAGTTTTTGGTGAGCTCAGTCATGCTTTTTGGTGCCAGACTCGTTCAGATGTACAGCAGGCACCGGCTACGTGTGATCATGCTTCATGGCCTGTGCAATTGCTGTCCACACGCGGTTTCAAGCTAAACCCTGAACCTTAGCGATTTCAAGCACTTTTAACTCTCTTTTCAAAGTCCTTGTCATCTTTCCCTCATGGTACTTGTTTGCTATCGGTCTCGAACAAAAAACCCTAAATCCTAAACCCTAAGTCCTGAACCCGAAACCCTAAACCTTAGAGCCTAGACTTAGCCGTCCCCGAGCCCTGAGCCCGAAAGTCGACGCCACCCCGAATCCTCACGCCTAAACCTTTACAACGTAAGTTCGGGGTTTAGGGATTTGGGATTTAGGGGGCCCAAGTTTGGAGAATCAGAAGTTACTTCAAGCCTCAACTGCGCTGCCACGACTGCTACGACGCCGAAGATGCTGCTCCTGCTGCTGTGTCTACGAATCGTGGTAGTGTCACCGGCAAGCCTTTAGCCTCTCGTGATCGAAGCCCTTGGCATGAACCCGCGGAAAAAACACCTGAACCTCAACCCTACTGCCCAAACAACAGACTAAAATCTCATAGTCTCCAAAGCAAAGGAGCACCTTGGCGGAGGCCGCTCCCGCCCAGTATGACTTTGTACCTTGGGCAGAGTTTCCTGCTTTTCTCCTCTGGTGCCTTACACGCTCGCCTGTGTCGATTGGAGTTGGCTTGTCTCAAGGCTGGTGTGATGTTAATATGCGCATGAGTGGCATTCAGTGAGTACCAGACCTCTGCTGCCACTGTGAACGTTTAGTTTAGTTGGGTTCGATCCACGTATGTGTTAGCAGGCTTCAGTGACCTAGCCTTGTGTAGTGGAGGGGGTTTGGTCAGCAAAAGGGCCTCCTCTCTGAAAAATTGCGACGGGTAACGGGTGTCAGTCTGTCTCTCTCGGTCTGTCTGCCTGTGTCTGCGTCTGTCTGTCTGTGTCTGTCTGTCGGTCTGCCTGTGCGTAGCATGTACGTATGTGTGTGTATGTACATACGTACGTGCTTATATACGTAGGTGCGTATGCAGGCATGCCAGTATGTCAGTAAGTAAGTATATTTGTATGTCAGGTGTGCGGTAGGACAGGGTAGTTCAACATTGTGCATCAACAAGGTCATGAACAAAACATAATATAAACCTCGATCGTGTACCGAATTGTCAGCAGGAGAATGAAAATTCGGGAAGCCATCCTGGGAGCCATAAAGTGAAGACGAGGTCTCTCTCTCTCTCTGTGTCTCTATGTCTCTATGTCTATCTGTGTATCTTCGTGCTTGTTATATGGGTGTATACTGTATTACAACACAACACTCATAGTCGTACAGCTAATTAATAGCTTCGGGTGCTTCTTGATTTCCATTCTGATGGTCGCTATCGTGACACTCTTGTTATTGTAATTTTCCTATTGGTACAAACAGAGAAGCTGGAGCTTCAGTTTCGAGCCACAGAGGGACATCCGCAAACCTGGAGCTGTCCCTACCGGCTTTGTCCATGTATCGCTTACCCTCACAGCCAGGAGAAACAGGAGTACCCATTGCTTCAGACCCCCAAACCCCTGAACCGGCAGACCTTGCAGCCCTGAATGCAGTCCAGTTGCCTTAAACCTGAAACCGAAGACCCCAAAGCCCTACAGCTCTACACGTTAAGCCGCTACCTGCCAAGGAGAGCCTGGAAGGAACTATAGTTTGATCATGAACTGATTAGGGGTGTAGGGTTTGGGGCTTTGGGGTTTGCAGGGTTGAGGGTTCAGTGATTCAGCATCTTCGTCTCTTGTGCGTGTGTGAGAGAAGAGCTTGTCCTCCCCAAAGGTCTACCTGCCGCAAGACCGACGAAAGCAACGCAACGTGGGCCTGGCTTTTCTGAACTTCCAGGACCCCGGACTCAGGGTGTCGGAGCTTTGCTGCAAGGCGGGCCTCAAAACCGTAACTCGAGAAGCTCAGGGTAGAAAATGAGGTCCCAAGCCGGGGTTCTCCGTAGTCTTTTGGGTACCCGTTTGTTGACCTTGCGCTCGAATGAGGTTGAGTCTAGATTCAATAGCTGCTGTGTTTCCGCTGTCCACCATAATTCTGGTCACTTGAATCCTAGACCCCAAGCCCTTCATTGGTCTCGTCTTATTCGGTGGCCTGCCGGTTGATCGTGACACTCGCCGGCTTTCATCCTTGAACAACAGGCCTGTTGCAGGAAGATCCCTGGGATCGTTGAGGGCTCGAGGCAAGGATTAAAGATTTTCTTATCAAAGTTCTACCTTCGGATTCAGGGCTCAACCTAAGCCCAAAACCCTAAACCCGGATGAGAGCCAGGAGCATGCCGCTGCTGTTTCTGCCTACCAGTTCTTTCGCTTGAAAAGCTTGGAGCCCGGGTGCCTCGATCGAACTTAAGCGCGCAAACCATATCCGCAAAGGCCGAAACCATTACTGCAGAAGCCGAAATAGTTGCCAATGTTATCCTTAAGGGCTCCTTCTTATAATGTCCATTCCAATGTACACCAAAACCCTATTCAGCACTCACAGGGCCCGAAGTGAGGTTTGGATTTGGGGTCTAGGGTTACCCTGCCTCCAATGGGTCCAAGGCAGTAGTTTCCTTTTCTTTTCGAGTTACTTCCCCCACCTTGGATTGTGGCCCTGATTTCCCCAGAACTGCCAGTTGGTGATTCCAGTGGCCGAGGACGTGGCGGGTCTGGATGTTAGGTGTTCTTGAGAAAAGGCACTGCTGAGGATGCAGCATGTGTTGTTCTGGAGCAGGTGTACAGTGAAAAACAAAACACGCGGACAACGAAGAGTACTTTCTGTATTGTGTCGTGCGTATCCCTTTTCGTTTTAGTTGTTTCGGCATCACTTCGGCTGACCAGGGATTCAGGTCTGCGAAGCCAACCCCATGCAGTCGTCGACAGAGAGCATTGCATTCAGAGTAGAAGTTCATGTATTTGCTCGAGGCTGAAATTTCCTCTTGGCCCTTCCAAGCCCAATCCAGTCCTGAATTCCCAGCCGTCGCTTTGAGGCTTCGGGTTCGGGTTTAGGGTTCAGGTCTCCTAGAGCTTGGGTTCCGGTCGGACTGCTTTAGACCTTAAACCCTGAAGCTCCAAATCCCCAAAACCCTAAAGCCAAGCTCTGAAGCTTCAAGCTCTAAACAATAAACCCCTAAATCCCAAATCTGTCATCCCAGGATTTGGGCCAGCTCGGTCGTCGGGCGGGCAATCATGCAGGGACTGCCATGCATCTTTCCCTGATGATCGTGTCGGAGTTCTGTGTTTTAGAGAACAACGTGTTGCTAAGCCGCTTCGGTGGTTGGTAAGTACACATTGGTGCGAGTATGAGCATAACAGCACAGAAGCCATCCTAGCATGTGTAGCTGTGTTCTGTCAGAGTCCTAGGGATGGTTTCGTGCTCCAGTGCGCTTGCGCGCTCCTTGACTTACGCACCCGGGTTCGCGCGCGTACAAGCTCCTGCCACCAGGTTGCAAGGGTGTGTGTTTGTAGTTGCATCTGTAAGCCTTTGCACCGCGCGATGTGTCTCAGAGTCTTCGGCACGTGCCGCCTTTGCCACCCGACCTACGTGCCCGCACCCAGGCACGCAGTGCTGCGGAGCCGACACTCGAGACATTAATCATTAATCGACGTCCTAACCTCCGCACCTGCTGGCATGCTCACGTGCACGTGCCCTTTCACATGCCTATTTTTGTTGCGCCATACCTCCATGCAGATGATTGCAGTTTCAGGTAATTACCGTACTGTCCTGGGGATCGTTTAAGATGTGCTGCGCAGAGTGGCTCTTTTTCAGAGTTCGGGGACCTGTTTACTGTGGGACACTGGTTGTGGCCGTTCTGCAGTGATTACGCTGCCAAGACGGGCCAGCTGGTTGTAAATCATGCCTCAGTTACTGGCCGGGATATCCCATATGATCGAAGCAAGCTTCGACGCGCCTCGCGGCAAGACGCTGGGTGTCCACTTCGTAAACCCTAAATCCGAAGCCCCAAATCTTCAGGCAACTTGGCTTACTTTCTAAGCCGGTCGGGCTTGGAAGCTGTGGACAATGCGACTTGGCCTAAAGGGTTTTTGCCCGCCAACCTTCGGGTTGCTTGTTGGAAGAAGTGCTGTTCGGGGTGGGGCTGCTGTACATATGTATGTAAATGATACAAATATACATATATATATATATATATCTATCTATATATATATATATATATATATATATATTATATACTTATATATGCATACATATATCTATATACACACACATATATATATATATATATATATATGTATATTATGGCATATTCATGTTTACACACATATCTATGATACACCAGAATTGGGTCCGTTGTTTGTACCAGAACCAGGCTCAAAGGACAGACCGTCTGCTGTGGTTTCAGAGATTCCGTTTCGAGGGTGACGCAGTTGCAGTGGAGTGTACTAAGCCCTAAACCCTAAACCGTTTCAGGGATGAACTCTCCGGGTACACAAGATGCCGTCGAAGAGCCCAGGTTTCAAGCACCTCGCCGTGCCTACACTGGAACTTCCAGCAAATCTAGCTGAGCACTAACTCTTTGAGACACCTAGTGCAGTTAGCAACCTTGAAACCTCTTCAATCCCCAACAAATCCCTGAAGCCCTAAACCGAAACTCAATCGCAGGATCTCTGCTGAGGGCATCGAAAGACTTCCCGAAACGGAGTTGGCTTGATAGGATGTTGTTGTTTCTTTTTTTTGCTAGGTTGTAGATGTGGTTCCTGTGTCTCGTTCAGTTGGTTTTGAGAAGGGTTACATAGGTTTGCAAATTGGGTTTGGCATGTCGACGCGGATGTGTGTGTGTGTGTGCGTACATATTATGCTTTCTGTTGGAAGTAAGGAGCATGCTCCACTTGTGTTCCAGCAGCCCGGTTGCACTTCCTTCAAGGTCGAAGCTGTTTTGGTATAAGGCTTTGACAGTTGAAGATGGGACCCTAAACCCTAAACCCTTGCCCAATGCGCTCTCTGAACCTCTGCGGTGAGGAACCAGGCTCTCAAAAAAAAAACCGAAACCCTTCTTACGCCAGCTCGGGGACGCCTGCTCTCAAAATCCTTAAGCCGAAGCCCCTTGTGCAGAGACAGCACCCCATTGGCCGCTGCGGTCCCCCAAAGGCTCGCTTCCTGGACAGCTAAGACTGATGGGGTAGGTGTAAGGCCAGGTGTTTAAGGTTTGGGCTTTGGGCTTACGGTTTTGTAGGACTTATGAAGAGATTTTGCCCGAGCCTTTGCACGATAGTTGCCGTGTATTCGCTGAGTGCCTAGGAATGCTGCGACAACCACGTCCAAAGCAAAACTCTGTCAACACCATGTCCCTTTCTTTCGTTTGCGGAGTTCGCGGCAATGCCTCGACTCGTCCGAAAGCAGCGGAATGCGCCGGTCTCGCAATCAAGGTTTGGCCTCGGTCTAGGCCTAGACTAGCTGCCTCTCGTCTAGCATCTCTGCATGAGTAGCTGAGCAGCCGTCCAACAGTGAGCAGCGAGGCGCAATGTGAGTCGTGGTACCTCCTTGTTTAGGTTCTCGATGTTCCTCCCAATCACTCCAGTCTCTGAATTCGGGGCCCTTCCGATGACATGGCACACTCAGTCACACCTGTAACCCGAGGAACGGAATCCGGCAGAACCTTCGGGAAGCAGTCAACAAGCACGTGACGCTCTCAATGGTCCTGGAAGCCGGGCAATCGGTGAAGGCGTCGCATTGGCAGCATACCTCATTTTGCGGGACGCTTGCTAGAGCAGACTCCTCGTAGGCACCTTCATTGTCAACTCACACTGCTGCAGCGGTTGGGTGTGGGATCTAGAGTTCAGAGATTTTGAGGCAACATGGACTAGAGAGGTGTGGGCTTGCATAAGCTGTTCATAATGCAGCAGAGAGCCCAACCTCCCCAAGCTCGATCCCAGACACTGAACCTTTCACTGACATGCAAACATACATACAATACACACACACACATACATACGTACCTGCATGCGTTCGTACATCGGAGGCCTCAAAAGGTGGGATGAAGGTAGGTGGGATATTCCCAAATAAGAGTCCTCATATAAAGGATCCTAAATCCTACCTAGCTTCATCCCACCTTTCGAGGCCTCCGAGTACATACATGCGTGCGGGCACTCATCCCGAACTGTGAAGCAGGTGGAGCAGGTCTCGCGGCGTCCTGGCGTGGCAGGCTGCGGGTCTCCTTCTGAAGATGGCTTGAAGGGGTATCTCCCAAAACCTAAACCGTCAGACGTCTAAAGGTGCTAGCAACTGCTCAGGCTCTCATGGTTGGGGTTTATCTCATGGGGTTAGGGAACAGGGGGTGGCAAAAGTTAGGCCTTGGTACCAGCTTCCGCGCATGCTTACCAAAGAGCCGCTTCCTCCTAAGCCCTGAACCCCCGAACCCCTAAACCTAAACCCATAACCCCCATAACTCCCATAAACTCCTAAACCCCTCAAGCCCCAGACCCCCTACACCCCCATAAACTCCTAAATCCATGGGCCTCAACAGTTAGGAACCCCAAAAGGACATAAGCATAAGCATTTCGGAAATCGTTGCTTATGAGCTTTTTTTTTGGGAGCCCTAAACAGGAGCCAAGACTCCCTAAACCCTAAACCCTAAACCCGGAGCCCTAAGCAGGAGCCAAGACTTCCAAGAGCATCAACACGGTGCCGAGATCTTCCACGGACTCTTCGACCTGTTCAGGTTGGGTCTGTGAGGGTTGAAGGGTTGAGGTTTTAGGGTTTTTCGGGATTTGAGGGATTTTGGAGTTTTTTGGGGTTTTAGGGGTGTTGGGGTTTAGGGTTTGGGGTTTTAGGGGTTTAGGGTTCAGGGTGTTCAGGGTTTGGGTATTTAGGGATTGGTGGTTTGGGGGTATTGAGGTTGACAGTCTGGCGTTTAAGGATCAGGGCTTGCCAACAAAATATCGCGGCAAATGAATGCTTTGATATTCTCAGCTGACACACCCGTGCGCACCCGCGCCCGCCCAGACTCAGGTGCAGACAAAGACACAGTCCGTAGACACACAAGTGCACACACAACAAAGACAGAGGCACAGACAATTATCACAGACACACGTGCGCACACCGACAAGCACACATGCAGGCACAGCCACAGACTCTTCAGACGTTCAAGCAAGTATAGCAGCAACGTCTTATTGCGCTTTCCCTATGTTCCCAATACATTCCAAACCCTAAACCCTAAACCCTTCGAACTGTAGCCCCGACACCCCTTGTGCTCCTGCAATCCTGAACTTCCATAGACGCTCTGCTGTAAGCACTCAGACGAGAGGTTTCCATTGGGCTCCCTATGATCCCAATCCTAAGATTCCTTAAGGGGTTTAGGGTTTAAGGGTTAGGGGTTTAGGGGCTAGCCACATAAGCCTTGGCAGTTCGTCTAAGCAAAACATCTAGATCCATATCTATATCTATATCTGTACCTATATCTTTGCCTATGTCATTGCCTATGTCTGTGTCCTTGTCTATGTCTGTATGTATATCTACATTTATAGACATGGATATGATGTATCTGTATCCATACACACATATATCTTCACATAGTGTATGTGTGTATATATATATATATATACACACATCCTTTTCTGTATATATATATATATATATATATATGAGTGCATATCTCCACAGGTACATGTCCTTGAATTGCATGCATATGCACATGCAGAGGCACCCGTCTACATAAGCACATACGCACGTCGAGCTATGTGCAAATGAAAACCTCAACGGAAGCTCGACGGGTGCCCTGCAGAGAAGAAAGGATGATTCTGTCTTTTAGGCATTAGGGTGGCAAGGGACAGAGGGAACTTGCCTTCAAGTGATATGATCTAGAGGTTCCAGGATTCCAGGGTCTGTTCTTCGCACGTTGGGTTCCCGCGGGGCCCGGGTTCCAGGTGCGGCTTCAAATTTCGGGCTTGTACCGCAGGCCCCGAAATTTCGAGAGCAAGGAGCCTCGAACATGGATTCGGTTTTGGGAGTTTACCCAGACCCCGAACACGACCCCCTCGCAGGCACCAGCTCCAACAGAGCGCCGAGGGCCTTTACAGATTTCGCAGAGCTCTCAACTTCATCGCCCAGCTCAGGCGCCTGGAGTGGTCTGGGCGTATAGGAGTCTCATCAAAATACACGATAGTACACTCCCTTCTTTAGTCCCCAGACCTTGTTGGAATCATGTAATATAGGGCTTGCACAGTTGCTAGTCCTATTGCCTAGGGCTCGCTATAGTGAATATACTGTAATTACAAAGAACCCCTCTCCAAAACTCCAAAGCCCCAAGCTAATTATTTGGGCATCTCCGTCGGGCCATCTCTTTGAATGCTTGGGTGGAAACCGACGTCTATCTGCATGTAGGGGCCTGAATGATCTGAATGGAGATCTGAGGCCATATTTCAGTACAATAATGTAGGGAGTATACAGGGATGTTATTATGGGAGACCGTCGTGCATACTGCAGACGGCACATATAGTTTTTGCAAGATAGTGCGCGGTGAGGCTTCGGCCAGGGGTCGTCTGAATGGAGCTTGTGGAGTGGTGCCTGTTCTGCGGTACTGCAATCTTGCAGGGTTTTTGAGGTTTCAGTCGGATGTATGTTGTATGTTCCTTTGATGGCATGGTGCCCTATTGTTGGCTTGACGGCGTCATGACCGATGACGTCTTCCTGCACAGCTTGCTCTCGCCCGAGTAGTTGCCCATTCTAACCTGTGCATAGGTTCCCTACGACAAATGGATAAAGGGTTCAATCGCCGGCCTTGCAATGAATGCGTTCACGCGTCTGTAGTACCATTTTTGCATTCAGTTACATTGCAACAGCATACCTCCTACAATGTACGGCATCTCGGCATGAATACAGCTTCTGTGCAGCCGTTCAACTTTCGCTTGTCTCGTTCTGAGTAGTTCTTGTTATGCGGGCCGTGTTGGATCTTTCTCCCCCCTGGCCGCCTTCAGGTGCAAAGCAGTGGGACGTAGCGCCAGTGCAACCAAAGGTGATGACGTGGGCAGGAGAGATGGTTTTGGGCGAAGGGCCTGCCGCGTTGAGCTCGCGGTTTCGTCTTACAGGCTTTGTGGCCTCGGGTCATGAACAGGAGCAATGCAAGAAAACATCTCACTGGTTCGAGTCTCTAAGCATGTTTTGGCCTCTATCCTTATGATTCCATTCAGCTCAAAATTTCCCCAGCGCCCTCGAGCCCGCCACCGGAAGGACCCGAGACTGAAGTGGCCAGCTGTATCCTGGCAGGTCGGCTCTGCGAGCACCAGCAAATGATAGAAGTAGACCCAGCAGTAGCAGCATCCGTTGCTGCAGCCGTCGAAGTCGCAGCAGTGGCAGTGGCACCGACACAAGAGTAATCAAAGCGATGAAACAAAAGAAGCTCTACGAATGGGCTGCGGGGCACGGGTTTAACCTGTGTTGGCCGTTCAGCGCTAACTACGGAGCTTCAGCGTTGGAGCAAGAAAGAGCCGTCGATCAGCCGCCCAAAACAACAGGTGGAGCCAAGACCAAGCTCCGGCAGCTGTTCTAGTCTCGCCAGACAATAGACAGCCCCTGTGTCTGTTCCGTCACGATCGTGCACACCAAAATCCAAAAGTCCAATGCTTCGCAAGCGGCTTCGGTGGCCACAGTCAAGCAACTCAAAGCCGGCCAGATGCGAACGCACGGCAGCAGCAGGAGCAGGAGCAACGGGCCGCGCTCGCTGTCGTCGTCGCGGTCGCTGTCGTCGTCATCGTCGTCGTAATCATAGTCGGCGCCGTAGACGAGTAGTACTGGCAGTCGTGGTGGTGGTGATGGTAGTAGTGGTCGTCGTCGTCGTCGTCGTCGTAGTAGTAGTAGTAGTTGTCGACGACGACCACACGACTACCACTACTACCACTACTACCACTACTACCACTACTGCGTTGCTTCGACTACTACTACTACTACTACTACTACTACTACTACTACTACTACTACTACTACTTCTACTACTACTACTACTACTTCTACTTCTACTTCTACTTCTACTTCTACTTCTACTTCTACTTCTACTGCTACTGCTGCTACTGCTACTGCTACTACTACTACTACTACTACTACTACTACTACCACTACTACCACGAGCACGAGCACGAGCACCAGCACGAGCACGAGCACGAGCACGATCACGATCACGACCGCCACCAGCAGCACCAGCACCAGCACCAGCACCAGCACCAGCACGAGCACGAGCACTGCCACTGCCACTGCCGCTACCACTACGGCTACCGCTACCGATACCGCTACCGCTACCGCGTTACTGCTGCTACTGCTACTGCTCCTGCTACTGCTACTGCTACCGCTACGGCTACGGCTACTGCTGCTGCTACTGCTGCTGCCACGGCTGCTGCTACTGCTACTCCTACTACTACTACTACTACTACTACTACTACTACTACTACTACTACTACTACTACTAGTACTACTAGTACTACTAGTACTACTAGTACTACTAGTACTACTAGTACTAGTAGTACTAGTAGTACTAGTAGTGAACTAGCGCTTGTATTACCAACCCAACTCCGACTCTGCCTACACTTACGCTGCGACTCTGGCTGCGACTATGGCTACGACAGCCGTTCTTCTGCAGGAATGCGAGGGCTTTCAATCACATAGACGGTCACATGATGCTTTAAGGGTATGTTACCCGCCGTCAAGCGTGTGTCGTATTCCAAGGGCCAGGCTGCTCGACGGTCTTCTACATACTTTTCCTTGCCCGGAGCTCCCAAACTGCAAAAGCTAGAACACAACAACCTTCATCTCGCCTTTGCAGGCCCGCCAGGTCTCGAGGGACCACCCGGTTTGGATCAATGGCAGCAGCGAGGAGATGAAGTCTCTGTTCAGAGTTCTTGGGGCGGGCTTTTGGGCAGGAATTCAGGGTTTCAGGTTTGGCTCAAACGTACCTTCTCGTGCCGAGCTGGGAATCGCGCTTCGGGTTTTGTCGCGCTAAACCTAAGATTCGCCTTTAAGCCTAAACCTTCAAAGCTGGAGCCGTGGGACCGACTCCGTCGTTGATGTTTTTGGGTTTCTATGATTCGGATTTTGCCTGAATCCTCTTGGACACCTGAGGGCATGAAAGCGTTTGTGAACTTGTATCCCGACTCTTCTTACACTCGTGTGCAGCATTGCCAGCAGGCTCAACCTTCACCCTGGCTCTCCATCAAATTTTGCCCTCGCTTTCTCTCTGCTCTGCATACAACTTGACGAGCGCCAGTGCTTGCAGAAGAACGGGCAGTCGCAGGAGTAGGAGTAGCAGCAGCAGTAGGAGTAGGGTTAGCAGCAATGGTAGCAGCAGCAGTAGCATAGCAGTAGGAATAGCACCAGCAGTAGCAGTAGCAGGGGAAGTCGTCGTAGTAGTAGTGGTGGTCGTCCTCATCGTCCTCGTCGTCCTCGTCGTCGTCGTAAAAGGAGGCGGAGGAGTCGTGTTGTTGTTGCTAGTGGTGGCGGTGGTAGTAGTAACAAGCGCGTAGCAACCAGCAATCAGAAGCACGTAGCGAAGATCGAGTAGGAAGTAGTTAGCAGTGCAGTCAGCAGGCCTTGGGTCTTAGGTCGTAGGCACGAGGTGGTAGCTAAGCAGCAAGCACCAGGTAGTAGGTGGTAGGAAGTTTGATACGAGTTCTCAAGCAGTAGGGGCGAACAGGACATGGTAAGTAGCTTGCAGCAGGTACTGTAAGATGCGACAGTGAGTAAGTTGGAACTGGTAGGTTGTGAGAGTGCACTCAATGATGCATCGCAAGTAGCACGTGTGTTGCTGTGCGTCACTTTAGGACGCTGGTGGTACGATGGTTTTGGCAACAAGTCGTCACGGTCATCCTGGGTTCTTATTGTTGTCGTCGACGTAGTTCTTGTCGTTGTCGGCGGCGTTGGAGTGCTCGCAGCAACGGTCTTCTTGATGCTATCGCGACCGTTGTCAGGAGCTGCACCAATACAGCAAGCACTCCCATCCATGTCTCCTCCGATGCAGCAGCGACGAACTTCGGAAGGTCGCTACACGGGCCACTGCAAGCTTTGGAGCATGGTGTTTCTGTGGTTCAGGGCGGCTGAATCTTGTGGCATGCAGAGTTGGGAACCCTCAATCAGAGCTCTCCCTGACAGCCAGAGTCCCATCGGGCCATACCGGTGAGACCTGGTCGCCGAAGGTGATGCTCCTCTGCTCTGGCCGTAGAGAAGGGGCAAGCGAGACCCTCGTTGTTTTTAAGGCAGACTACGGCGATGCTTCTCCTGAAACATCCCCCTTGGGCCCTTGTGTGTATGCACAACTATCTGCATACATACATGCTAGAAGTACATCCGTATGCCACAGCATCCATGCCCGAACGATGATAACGTCCATGCTAACAGTGCGTCCATTGGCCAAAGCATGCATGCCCGAGCGGTGCCAACGTCCACGCTACCGGTGAATCGATCGGCCAGCATTCCTGCCCGAACGAAAGCAATGTCCATGCCACCGCAACAGGCATCAGCTAGATCGATGCGCGAACGATGATAATCTTGATGCTGTCAGTGCACCCATTGGCCCGGACCGCTGATTGAAACTGCCGAGCGCAGGCAAGTCTTCTGTGCCTCAAGGCTTTCCAAAGTTTGGAAATTGGAATCTGTCGGGCAAATGTTGTTGGTCGGAAGCGCGAAAGAAATTGAACCTTAGTTCGGAAAGCGCGAAAACGCAGGTACGTTGTAAATTGCAATGGAATCACGGGTTCTTAATGTCTCAAAACACGGGGCGGCATATCCGTCGCTACCGTGTGTTTCGCCGTGGTTCCTTCAAGGGAACGGAAGCCTTCTTGTCACGGCCCTGGGGCCCGAAACCAACCGAAAACAGAACGATCGTACGCTGAAGGCTTTCGGCCCTCATCCGTCTTTCGAGCGAATGTAGGTCTACCAGTTGCCTTAAACACAACTCTACTATTGTGTGTGTGTGCGCGAGCTTGCACTCAGCCGAGATGCAGAAACAAGAACATGAGCTGTCACCTGGAGTTTCGGGTGGCTATCCAAGAAAAAGAAGAACACCGAACCCGGAAGTAGTCCTTTTCCCTCGCCTCGAACAACCCGTCGAAGCACAACTATTTCGGCTTATTCATTCTACTTGTAGAAGCTGGAACAGTGTCTCATGTTGTTGTTGAGAGTTACTACTATAGTTTACGCTAATTGTATCATACCCCGAGCCCTGTTCTCATGATGAAGTATTTGCAGGCTCCCTTCCCGGAGTTGCTCAGCTGCACTTGCCTGGGGTTTGGACGAGTGAGTCGCAGCTGAAAGTTGATCCTTTGAGCTTGTTGAGGCAGGATCTAATTCAGGGGCCTTACTAATTACCTATGCTATTTACTGGTTCCTTAGTATATTTATAGTATTACGGGCCCCAAAACCCTATTCCGTTTATTAAGGCCCCTGCATTAGGTTCTGTGTCAAGTGTAGGCTGACTGAGGTAGTGTGTTGCGAGTTGCACCTTTCAGAATTCAAAGGTTTCGTTTTGTGCTTTTTCCTAAGGGAGTAGGTTGTCAGTTTTCCGCAGGCAACCCCAGCCCTTACAGCACAGCGGCACAAAAAGCACCCGCCCTGAACACCCGCACGCTCGCAGCCGAAGCCCTCTCCGTCTTAGGCTTTCCAGGAGTTCAAGGTGCTGAAGACCGGCTACTTGGATGCGTTATAAAATATAAGATAACGTATATAAGATATGACATATAACACATGTTATGGATAATATTGAAGTTTGTTGGGGTTCTTAGGGTGGGTTTGGAGGTGCCGGGATGTTTGGGGCTTGGGGTTTCAAGTCCGGGTTTTGGGATCGTGCAAAGTCCTGAGCCTTCAACATCGGAGCCTGGTAGCCTAAACTGCGTGGCCAAGCTCTGCACTCCTCAGCGGCAGTGGGCAGGCACTCTGCACCAAAACGATAGGTTTTGCTAAGATACAAGTGCAATGATGGTGATGGTGATGATGTTGTATTTGTTTTTGCTGTTGCTGTTGTGGTAGCGGTTGCTGTCGCAGTTGCTGGTGCTGCTGCCGTTGCTGCTGCAGGAATGAAACATGTCGTCATGAAGAAAGTGAGCAAGAAGTGAATTTGTATGTTCGTGAGGCTACGTACTGTCGGAGGAAGAGCAGCTCTTACAGCTCATCCGCGCCTTTGGCATGTTACCCGAAGCCCTCGGTGTTGCTGTTCGGGGGGTTTGGGCTTTGCAGGTGAGAGGCTTTTTTCAGGGAGGGTTCCTGTTCTGGAACATGGGCCTAGGCGGGTTTTGATGAAGGTCCCTTTTGGAGCTGGGGCTTGAGAGTGTGCGCATCTGCCCCTTGAGTCTTCTCGAATTGGCAGAAGAGTTTCGGGTTGGGGCCAGAATCGCGGGACAGCATGGAAGCCTTATTACCCCAACCTCAGAACCCATAGCTCTTCGCACCAAGACCCTGTCCTCGCAAATGCAAGAGCTTCGTGTCGAGAAGCTGAAGGTGCAAGGGTCGGTTCAACTTTACTTTCAGCATACCCCGACCTCGACAATGCGACAAACCCCAAGACCTGAACAGCACGAAGCTCTAAACCAGAAGGCCTCAACAGCTTTTGAACCAAGCTCAGAGACTGGAGGTTGCTCTTGAAATCGCTACACTACTACTTACGTCTTACGTGTCCTCCTCACTATCTCACAGAGCCTAGCCATGAATCTCAAACCCTTGAGCCGGGTGCTGCTAAGGCCGACAAGAAACCATCGTATTCCATGTGGCTCGGCCTTGCAGAAGAGAGGCTTCTCTGGGGCTGGCATTACAGTACTGTCACTATTGAAATTACTATTATCATCATTGTTTACATTATTGCAGGTAGGTATTATGTGTTGCTATTGATGTTGCAATTATTGCTTGTTTGTTTTCTCAGCATGTCTCTATAGCATTATGATTACAATTACCACTGTAAGCACGCATTGTATTACTGCCACTATACAATGCCACTATTGCTAGTCTTGCTAACAACAGGCGCGGAGAGCATACTGGCCCTTACCATGTGTCCTTCTGAACATATGGACTTCAACTACGTCGGCGAATCCCTCAGAGCAGCTTGTAGTTAGTCGTAGTTAGTAGTGGTCAGTAGTGTGAGTAAAAGTTAATTGTCGCTAGTAGTATCTAGTAGTGAGAAGTAGTGAGTAGTAGTTAGGAGTAATTAGTAGTATTTTAGTAGTAGTTAGTAGTAGGTAGTAGTCCTCAGTAGCAGGTAGTAGCCCTCAGTAGTACACATAGGAGGAGTTGGTAGTGGATATAGTGACTAGAAGGTGGTAATTCTTTTTCATTTCAGTATTCGTAGCAGCAGCAGTAGTAGTCGTGGTGGTGGTGCTGCTGGTGGTGGTGGTGGTAGAAGTAGTAGTAGCAGTAGTAGGTCGTAGGTCGTAGGTCGTCGTAGTAGTAGTAGTAGTAGTAGTAGTAGTAGCAGTAGCAGTAGTAGTAGTCGTCGTTGTAGTAGTAGCAGTAGTAGGAGGAGTACTCGTACTAGTAGTAGTGGTAGTAGTAGTAGTAGGAGGAGTAGGAGTATTAGTCGGAGTAGGAGTAGGAGTAGGAGTCGCAGTCGCAGTCGCAGCAGCAGCAGCAGTAGCAGCAGCAGCAGCAGTAGCAGTAGCAGTAGCAGGAGGAGGAGAAGCAGGAGTAGTAGTAGTAGTAGTAGTAGTAGTAGTAGTAGTAGTAGTAGCAGTAGTAGTAGTAGTAGCAGTAGCAGCAGTAGCAGCAGTAGCAGCAGTAGCAGCAGTAGTAGTAGTAGTAGTAGTAGCAGGAGTAGTAGTAGTAGTAGTAGTAGCGGCAGCAGTAGTAGTAGTAGTAGTAGTAGTAGTAGTAGTAGTAGTAGTAGTAGTAGTAGGAGTCCGAAGCACAAAAACCCTAAACCCACAGCCCCTACTTGATCCTCAAGGTCTAGGCCCAAGAGAGCCTGAACATGGTGCGCGAAGCTTCGAAGGCTGTGAAGCGGGTGTTCGAAGCTCTTAGGCCTTTTTGCGTGGATAGGGGCCTAGTGGTGTCTGTCAAAGGGGAATTAGAAGCGACATGCAGCACATTCCCATCGTCGTAGGAATCCCATTCCGAAGCATCTGAGTCGTTCTGTCCAGTCTTTGTTGGCGCATCAAAGGCCGGTAGACCCAGAGTTACAAGTTATATCACAGCTCCGTCAAGTGTTTAAGAAAATTCTACGATAGGTACAGTTCTGACAGGACCTTTTTATGTAGAAATATAGCGCAGTGTAGCATCGTAAAATATAGGGCATGGGGGACTTAGTCTATTCGTATATAGTGCACGACATAGTACATAGCAGATGCTGCAAACCATCGAATACAGGGACATGTCTGTAAAGGTTCATGTAGTGAAGTCGAGGTTACGCAGAAGTAACCAGTGTTTTACATCCTCTGGCGGTTCCCAAGCACAGCTTCGTGTTTTTGGGGTTCAAGGTTCAGGGATTTAGGCTCGGGGTGTGATGTTTGGGGTTTAGGGACTTGAGCTTCAGATTCAGGACCTATGCTTTCGGGCTTTGGAGATGGTGACATCTGATGCCACAACGTTGAAGCATAGGGTTCTTCACTGAGGGGTACTGTCATGCAGCCACTTCCGTGACATGCCAGACTTGTTTGGAACCGTGCCGCAAGGTTTCACGCGGCTGCGCTGCTCTCTTGTCTGAGCAGTGACGCGGCTGATTTTTCGGTGTTTAAGTAGATTCGACCAGCGCTGAGGATCTTTTGTCAGTAGGTTTGTCGTCCAAGGCCATGCAGCCTCGAAGAGATTGTGTAAGAAGGGTCTCATTTTGACGATACTTCTCAGTGCTGGTGGCCGGCGGTTCAAAAATACACCCGAACAGCCCTGCCGGTGATTTATCAGCCACGTTTTCCTCCATTACGTGGTGGAGGTTCAGAGAAGTTACAAATCAGTCTTTTCGTTCGAGATGCCCTGTAAGGAAGACACAGGAGATGAAAAGGAGTTCCGCGAATTATGTGTGTTTTCTCCTGCGGCTTAGCCGCAGCAGTCCCCGCTCTTGTCCGTGCGCAGTGTCTTCCGCGGGATGGCATTCTCACCAGCTTTATGATGACTTTCTATGGCACAGCCCTGGTTGGAGCTCGCTCACACCTCTTGAGGAGGTCGCTTTGCTCGACTCCCAAGGCATCTACTCGGTGCGAAGCTGCGCCAGAGAAGACGTGGCCAGTACAAAGGGGGCCCAATTAAACAATTACCAATTTTAAATACGGTTTTGGTGGCTCCTTATTATACTTCTCGTCTAATGGGCAGCACACCCCTATTCTAATTATTGTGGCCCCTACATGAACTCCAAGTTCTCACGTAGAGCATTTAAAAGGAACCTCGAGTCAATGCCGCCGCTCCTTCCGTGACTCTCTCGGTTGCTTTGAAACCAGAACGGGAAAATCATTGTCCAGTTTGAGCTGCTCCGGACCTAGGAACCCGAACTCCCTTCCAAGCCTCAGACAGAGATGCTTGTACATTTCAAGCATGCCATGGTCAAGTGAACTTCGAAACCCGATGGTCTCATGGTGCAATCAAACCTTGGCTTTTGATGCCTCATCAAGACTCACCCGCAAAGACGCATTGCCGAAGGTCCCAACTGTATGCTGAGAACGTTGCTGCACTTTACCAATTCCCGACATTATGGTACTTTAGTCTACAGAACGCAGTGGGACGGCACACCGTTGGCAGTGACTGGTCGAATATTCCCAGCAAGCAGGTGGCTCATCGAAACGCCCAAGATGTTGGCAGCGCAGAAAAAGCGCCGTGTGTCGGGAACGCACATAGGGCATGAAAGAAAGGTTGTGCAGCATGCAAACAAGGCCCTACGTACTGCTGCTGCTGCTGCTTCCTCCTCCTACTACTACTGCTACTACTACTACTGCTACTGATCCAGCTACTGCAACTGCCGCTGAAATTGCTTTTCTGCTGCTGCTTAAGACAAGGCAATCGTAACATCTATAATATATATATATATATATAATTACACATACACATACGCTGACACATACTTTTGTGCACAACATCGGGCGTGCTTCTATTCCAGGCATAGATCGTACTCAGCTTTGTGCACTGAGCTTCAACTCCGAAGAAGCACAGGTTCTGCCGCCCTGCACCCGAAACACCCTGCATCCAGCCCAAACACAAGGCTGACATTGCAAACCTGGGACAAGCGACTGCCTATCTTCGCGTCAGTTGTATTGAGGCCGCTCCCGCTGGAGCCCAGGCACGCTGCAGACGGGAACCCTGTGAGGAGTTAAGACGTACTGTCGGAAGACTGCTGGTATCATTCCTCAACACCCTTTTCTAAAGTACACTACGTGTGATCGGTTGAATGCTCAAACCTCCCACATCCGAAATCCCGAGCCAGAATTTCATAGTTTTACCCCCCCCCCCCCCAAGAAGGAATCGTGCAAACAGACTGGCAGAAGTTTTGCCTGCAGCCCTCAACCTTAAATTTCGTCGCTGCTGCACCCAAACGTTTTTGTGGCCTTGATGTTGCGTGTAAAGGCTTGCAATGACGTAAAGGCTTGCAATGACGGACGCAGCAGATACCATAGTGCATAGTTCAACATTCACGCAGTAAGTATTCGGCATGACGATGAGTAGTTGAAGATAGTATAGCGGACAGGGCTCAGGACTTTAGATGTAGGTATCCGGGTTATATGTCACCGCCTTCCTGCATCTCCGTGACTGTGAGGCGAAGTCCGACTTCTCGCCACCCCAAGCCCTGAACCAGAAACCCCAGGTCGCATTCCCTGACAGGACTAAGGGTCTTTCCAAAGCAACTCAAGCTGTTGCAACCCTGAAGTGTAGAACTCGAAGCAGCGAGAGGCCTCTCCTAGCAGCGGCTTTCTCACCCGGCCAATGGGGGAGGACACGAAGGCTCTCGTCGTTTATGTGTCTGTCTCTATGTATGTAGTTTTCCTCTATCGGGTATGGACATTTTAAGGTGCCGCTCTCCTTCTGATTTTAAATTCCTAGGAGTGGTAGTAGTCGGTGGCATTGGGTCGTTGTCGCGGTGGTAGTGGACGTGGTAGTAGTAGTAGTAGTATTGGTGGTAGTAGTAGTAGTAGTAGTAGTAGTAGGAGTAGGAGGAGGAGGAGGGGTGGGAGTGGGAGTGGGAGTAGGGGTGGGAGTAGCAGCAGGAGTAGTAGACGTGGTGGTGGTGGTGGTGGTAGTAGTAGTAGTCGCAGCAGTAGTAGCAGCAGTCGTCGTGGTGGTGGTTGTGGTCGTCATCCGTCATCGTAGTCGTAATCATAGTCGTTGTCGTCGTGTAGTCGTGGCATCTAAAGCAGTAATTAGTAGGGTATTCGGAGGAGGAACGTCGCATTGACATTTCACCACGTTTCTGTTCTCGTCCAAATGCTTTCCGATGTCAGTCCAGTCGCTGATATCCAAGAAGCGCTCTTTTGTAGATTGAATTTGTCCCCGGGGGTTTGGCTTGACATACCTGGGAGTTTCCGAAACTAGGGGACCCTAAAAAAGTACCCTAAATAATAGGATCCTTATTATGAGGGCCCCAAAGTTGAAGAAGATGGCCCGGCTCAGAGGCAGAGATCTCCAGGGTCGGCTTGGGGTCTCCGATACCTTGCGAATGGCAGGTGGAGAATCCGGTGGACATCGATGCCTTTTCCGCCTTCGTCTCGCATTGAGCTGTTCTGCAAATGGCAGATGTGGGGGGCAGGATCCTGCAATGCGTCAACTTGCGAAGGCCAGGCCCGAACCCGAAGCTTCAACCCCGCTCTAGCCAACGCTGCACCCCAAGCCCGACACCCTCAACCCCAAACAACGGACAATGCAGGGCCTGTTGTGACCGTCGTTCGACGAAAGATGCCGAAGGACGGCATCTGAGCCCGGAGAATCATATGCGCGGCTTCCTAAAAACTCTGTGAAGGAATTTCTGCAAGCCCGGAACCTGATCTCAAGCTCCGAAGCCGAGGCATTCTACATCTCTTAGTCTTTTCCCAAGCTTTGTGTCTCATTTCTCTGGGCTTCTCTTGTTGACTCTCCAGTGCTGTGCCATCTCTTCTTGTCGCAGATCCTGTCTTATCTGCTCTTAGTCCTCTCCCACTAGCTCTTGTCCTACACCTACACCCTAAGAAAGCGCTCGAACCCTCGATCCTCAGGGTCCTTGTTATCATGATGAGCCTGCCTGAAACGTTTAGGGGTTTTGGATTGGGGTTGGGTGGAACGAAAAAGTATATGCATACGCTACAAACACAAGGCTAGCCTTTTCTGGGCTTCAGTACTCCGCGCCTAAGTTAAATACAAGCAAGAAATACAGGCAAGAACAAGCAAGCAAACACAAGGGATGACGCGTGAAGACCAAAGACACACGATACATATGAAAAGGCACACACGCTAAAAAGCCGCAGACGTCACTTTGCGCGTTTGAGGCTTTGACAAGAAAACAGGGACTGCCCACGGGCTTGCCTCCTGTGGCGAATGTTGAATCGCTAACTGAACGTCTTCCATAGTTTCCAACTGGCCTTGAGAGTGTTGTCGCTCTGGGCCACGTCCTCCCGGCCACAGTTCAAATCTACGGTAAAAAGATTTCGTCGGGCTGTTGTTGGCAAATCTCTGTGGGCTTCTGCATGTCATGCATCCCGCAGCTTCCGCGAAGCAGTCGGGGGATCTCGACCCCGTGAGGATTTAGAACCTCGGCGATTTAGGACTCGATGCGTTTGCATTTAAGCTCCAGGAGTTGAGGACGAGGGCGGGGCTGTACGAATGAACTCGGCGGAACCTGTTTGGGCTAGACTGAGCGATTTTTATTGTATCTTTTGTTCCGTCCAAAGAATGAAAGAAAGAATCAGAACCTCAGGCAGGGAACAGTACTTGCGATTCGTGCTGGGCACGAGGAGGGTTCGCGAAGGAGACAAGGACCATGCACTAGCCAAAAAACCCACGCAGCTGCCAAGAAGGCAAGGCATCAATGGTGTTCACCCTTTATAAGATCCCGAACGATCCAAGCCTAGACTTTGGGGTTGCCAAAATTTGACCCTTTTGGGCGTAGGGATTCAATGGGGTGACTTTTGCAAGGATTGCCCGGACTCAGCGCTCTTCTGTGCGGTTAGTTTGCCATCTCGTGCAGAAGCAATCCCGCACCATGACCCTTGGACTGAGCTTTTTCGCAAGAAAGAAAAGCCCTCGCCTGTCTGGTGCAGATCTGTGGAGTATATGATCTGAGGGATGTAGGAGCACCTGACCGCCTTCAGTGTTGTATGATGTGATACAACTCTGATACAGGACATTATAATGTATAATCCATGGCAAGACCCTCTCCCCAAATAATTTGTTCCGTTTATACGGCTTCATACAGGTATTATATATATATATATATATATATATATATATATATATTCATATATGATTTATGCATATACAGATACATATACGCACGTAGGTACATAAACTGTAATGCGCTCACTATGGTCACTAGACATCCGCGGTGGGAGGCTCCCGGCAACTGCCACATTAGCAGCCCAGGGTTCAGGACCGAAATGTAGTCCTCAAGACCAACACCCACTTGCTTGGAACTGTACCGTAAGGGCCGCAAATCGTAAAGATTCGGGCCCTGCAGCTCTTGCAACTTTCATGTTACGTTTGGAGGTATGTCAGAAATCGATACCGGCAGCTACGGAAGTAAGTGAGCTGAACGCTTGCCCGTTTGGGTAATTGTGCCACCAGTCACCGCATCACTGTACTCGTAGTTTAGCAGGGTACTTGCAGCAGCAACAGCAGCTATCAGCCACTAGCACCTGAGCCTTCACTGTCTTGACAACCTGCGCCGTTGAAGATCGGTCATGTTTGCGGCTTTGCAGCCTGACACAATCATGCTTGCCCGCTGTGCTGGCCCAAAGCAACCCCAAGCCTGTGGCAGACGGCAGAGGGCAGCGCCTGTGCCTCAGCGTTTAGAATTTTCCAGGTTTTGGGGTGTGGGGCTAAGGGTTTCCTGCCACCACCTAAACCCTAAACCCTAAACCCTCCCTAAACCACTAATCACTAAACCCCTAAACCCCTAAACCCCTAAACCTTAAACGCATCACCACCGCCTGCTCCTGCCCCTGCTGCTTGCGAGTCCTGCGACCACTACTAGTCCCACTACTGCCACTCCTACTCCTTTCACCAGCTGCTGCTGTTGCTGCTACTACTACTACTGCTACTACTACTACCACCACTACTACTACTCCTCCTCCTACTACTACTACTACGACGACTACTACTACTACTCCTGCTACTACTACTACTACTACTACTACTACTACTACCACTACCACTACCACCACTACTCTTCCTCCTCCTCCTACTACTACTACTACCACCACTCCTCCTCCTACTACTACTGCTACTACTACTACTACTACTCCTCCTACAACTACTGCTACTGCTACTACTACGACTACTACTACTACTACTACTACTACTACTACTACTACTACTACTACTACTATTAAATTGAACGCTGTGCGAGCGGGCTCAGCACATTGCGGGCGATTGCCGCGGTGCACTCACTTGGTGTGAAACTGACTCAGACCCTTACTACTACTACCACTACTACTACTACTACTACTACTACTACTACTACTACTACTACTACTACTACTACTACTACTACTGCTACGACGACTACGGCTGCGACTACTGCTACTACTTCTGCTACTACTACACCTACTACGACCTACTACGACCTCCTGCTACGACGACGACGTCGACTATTACTACTACGACTACTACTGCTACTTTTTCTGCTACTGCACTGCTACCGCTACTGCTACTGCTACCGCTACCTAGCCGCTACCGCTACCGCTGCTGCTACCGCTGCTGCTACCGCTGCTGCTACCGCTGCTGCTACCGCTGCTGCTGCTGCGGCTGTGGCCGCAACTGCGACTGCGATTGCTTGCCCGGATTGGGCTCCAACATCTCATGAAGGGACACTCAGCGGACACGTCCTGAAGGCTCTTTGCCGGTTTTGGGGCCGTTTTGTTCATGCCTGGCTTAGAAACGCCTCCCCAAATCCTTAAGCTTCCATGATGAAGGCTTTGGGCGCTTGGTGCCCTCTTTTGCCCAGGCTCCCCACAGAGACACGATGCTTGCGGGGGCCTCGTGCGAAATCCCGTGAAAGCTTGGAGATCTCGGGCTGGATCTCTGTTCGATCCGGTACCTTGATCATGGAACTCTTGTTGCAGTGATTCCCAGGAGACCTATCGAGCTGGGATAGACAAACCTGTGCAATGGCAACTCTGGAACATTGAATCTGGCAAAATTGCTATCTTATTCTTTGCGTCGAGAGGCTTGGATTCGCAGTTCAACTCACGCATGTGTCAGACAGTCGAAACAACAGCAGATACTCTTTCATGCCGATCCTATCCTGTTTCTTGCTGTTGCTATCCTTCAGCGCAGCTTTCACGGCTCCCCAACGCCTAGAAACCGTGGACCTGACATGTTCCTCGAGCCCTGGAAAACACGAGAGAGAATGGGTGAGAGAGTGAGAGAGCGAGGGACAGAGAGAGACAAAGAGAGACGAGTACGCTCGAATCCCGGGAATTGCAGGCCACCCATGCCTACCGAGCGATTAGCGCTCGCAGCAGCAGCCGCCAGGGAGCCTGGGGGGTTTTTAAGTACGACAACAGGGTAGTTGTCGCGATTCAGGCTCCAGGAGTTTCGTGGCTCCAGGAATTCAGGCCTCTGAAGTTTCGGTTGCGCGCAAAGCCGGAGAACAGACTTCCGCATGCTGATCGCTGATAAGGAGCTACAGGACTACAAGCAGGATTCATGACCGTGATGGGATTGATGATGCTCATGATATGATGAACATGACCACCTGGATGACACTGTGCGCGGGGGTTCTGCAGCTGCTCATGTGGCGCTGCTTACCTCTTTCTTCCTCCTTCGTGTTCTGCTACTGCTACCGGTACTGCTGCTGCTCCTGCTCCCGCTCCTGGCTGCTGCCGCTGCCACTGCCGCCACAACCACTACCAGTACCACTACCACGTCCATGTCCACTGCCACGACGACGACGAGGAGCACCAGGCCGAGAAGGAGGCCGAGGAGGATGACGACGACGTCGTAGACGCATTCCACCGACGACCGCGACGGCCACGGCTGCGGCTACAGCTGCCGCTACAACGACCGCGACAGCGACGGCTGCTTTTGCTGCTGACAGTGCATGCGACTTCGCCTGCTACCACGGATACGTTGGGATTTGCCAGGGTCCACTGTTGTCATTAAGCCCCTCAGTACCCTCGTAGGATTTTGGTAGGAGCCCTTCCGGTACCCTTACAGGAGCCCTATTCCTGTTAGATGGAACTTCTTTATTTCTTGTCTTTTACCTGACGAACAAGCCCTTCAGGTTGTAGCGTTTCCTCCAGGGAGGGTCCCATGAAGAGGTTCTAGACGGTGGGGGTTCAGCGATTAGGGATTAGCCTCGACCTAGCTCTTGCAGTCTGAACCAGATTGCGTGAAGCATGTCAGCGGACCTCATGGAGGAAGCGGGCTTTTCGGGTCTGGGGTTCTGGGACGACAGGGAAAATCCCTGGATGCTCCTAGGTAACGCGTAAAACTACCGACTCCTCCATGTTGGGCTTCACAGATTCATGCAACCCAATTCGGACAGCCAGCCGTCCACATCCAGGGAAGAGGAAGCCACTGCACCGCTGCCAGGTGTCGTTGCCATGGCAGCCACGCAGTCTCGAGCATTTTGGAATGTGTTCGGCGCTTAGCACAGCAACAGCACTCTTGCGGGTTTGAGGTTTCGTTCACTGCACACCCGATTCCGCCATGCAGCTGTGCATCCCGATAAGAACAGGACGCCAAACTCTTTCAGCTAATGGAAAACCTGGCGGAAGCAGCATTACGAACTCGACGGAGTTCAGAAAGCTCTACATAGCCATCCTCTCGGCCTCAAGAAGCGGACCTTGATGGTACATCCCCTGCCGTGAAGCCTTGCATTCCAAGCCCCAGATATCATAACTCCATATGCAGCGGGAGCATGAGTCACACAGCATGTGGTGCAGCTTGGGCAGGCCCCCCTTCCGGAACACTAGATCACCCATCCCTGGCGACATCAAAATCCGGAAACGGCAAGCCTGCGAGGCTTAATCCACCATGTTTGCCACCGTCACATACCCCCACCGTATATGCGAGGAAGCGCGAGCCCAAAATGCGCATGGCACTGTGATGTGCGATCGCCAAACATTGGAGCTTTAAACTGAATTCGGCACAGCAGGAGACGCGAGCCGTGGGTCGCACGATCACATCAGGCACAACCCCACTGAATACCCTAAACTAAACCCTCAACCCTAAGCACTAAACCCTCAAGCTTAAGCCCCAAGCCCTAAACCACAAAACCGCAAACCCCAAGCCCGAAATCCTAAACCCCAAACCAGGTCGTACCCTGGCCCCCAAAAGGCGAACCCTCAGCCCCATACCCCAACAGCCCGAGCCCCGCCCCAAGCGCTCTGCACAGGTCACTGCCTGTACTCAAAAGCCCCGGAGGCCAGGTAAGGTGCTGTATTTGAGGGAGTTTCCAGGGTTCCTTAAAGGGATCTATTAGGGCTCTATAAAGGGTTTAGGGTTTAGAGTTTCCGCAAGTTAGGAGTACTTGGTTTGGGGTCCATAGTATGGATCCTACTGTTTGGGGTACTGTATTAGGGTCCCCTATTTTCGGAAACTCCCTTATGGAGGTTTCTGAGAGCAGGGGGTCCTGCTGCCTACTCTCCATCGTACCGGGGTTCCTTAACGCGAAACAGTCGTACCACTCATCCTGCGTGTCGGTCTAGAGATGACATTTAGATCTAGAACAGTATCCTCACAGAGGGATAGCAAGTACGTATGTAGAGATAGACAGATGCACAATTAGATGACAAAGACCGACAGCAAGAGTAACCGATAACACGAAGAACAGGCAATTCAAACAAGGCGGTAAGTGAGGTTGGGGGCTGGGAACTAGATTTAGGACCTACGGCTGTCAGTCAAAGAGCAGTTGTCCCCACTCAACTACGCTCAATCATACTACATTCATAGGTTGTTATGCTTAACATCATCAACACCAGTTTATTCATGGTTACACAGACCGCACCCTCAAAGGCGCCAGGCTGCGAGTGCTTTGGTTCAAGAAACGCCGAGGATCCTGACATTCAACTTTTGATCCATTCGTGGTGTGATGATGCTTAGTTTTCGGTGACGATGCTGATGATTGCCATGTTGATTGTTGGCATCGGTTGAAGCTTTCGTCGTTTGCCTACCGCCGCCGTTGTTGTTGCCGTAGGCAGGGCTTCAGGTGGCATGTCGTTTAGGAGGATTAGCACATCAATGTAGGCAGGTGTGGCATAGGGCATTGGGGTTGAGGTTTCGGAACAAGGGTTGAGGGGTTTAGAGTTCTGGATTACCATGATGCGGAAAGCCCGACCGGCGCAGGCGCCCATATCACTAAGTACCAGATCGTGAAGCCGTACAAGGACGGCGTGGCTGGCTCAGTATGACTTTAAGGCTAGTATTACGGCATTCGACCGTTTGTCCAGGCTAGATTTTAGTACCAAGCCGTGTGTTGCTCCTCCATCCAGCTTATTCGGGATATAGCGGAGCTTCTGTCAACGTGGTGGCCGTAGGACCCAGAGTATAGCGCCCTGAATAATTCGCAATATTGCTGTCTTCATCAAGGCCCCAAACTAGCAAGGCCTCTGTACAAGGGCAGGGCTCAAGCTTCCCCAGCCCGACTTGAAGCCCCAATCCGCGACGCAACATGGATTGAAAACAATTCGATGTCGAACCGTATACAGTACCAGTACCTTAAACTCTAAACTCTAAACCAGTACGCTTAGTAATATCCGCCTCTATCGAGAAGCCGTAAACCCTGAGTTGCTGTGGCTGCTACTGCTGCTGCTGCTGCTACTCCTGCTGCTGCTACTACTACTACTACTACTACTACTGCTGCAAGCGCTCAAGATTTGGATTGAAGGTTTCAGCTCTCGAAAAATGTTTTGGGGCCGCAGCTCGCATTAATGGCAGAGTTTGGGGTTGTCAGTTCTTCTTTTTTTGTTGGGGTTTGGGGTGTCGAGTTTTGGGTTTGGTGTTTGTTTAGGGCGAAAGGTAGATTACGCGCTGGTGTTCGAAACCCGAGACCCCCATGAGGCTCAGGCAGACTCCAGCTCTGAACCCGGAGCCCGACCCCGCATCCGCACCCAAGCCCTAATTGAGCTTGATGTCTTTGTTCGGCCTTAACCCCCGAACACAAAAACCTCTTCAAGCCCCAAGCCCCTTCGCCGGACATCCGAAACTCTGGGCTCTTCTGGCACGCCAAGGTTGACTACGATGACTTCCTCATCGCACTGCCCGAGCGAGACCATTTGGCCAGCAGCTGGCTTGACATATGGCATCTATATGTAGGTGTATGTGTGTGTATGTAGTTGGTATATAGGTATTTTTGAGTTAATTATGTGCATATTTGTTACTATCTATATTCACCTATAAGAATCAGTTTGGGGCGCAGAGCTCAGTCTGTCTTCGAGCCTGGACCTCTCAGTTTAGGTGTGCGACGAGAATCTCTCTGATGGTTCCAAGGATCGTTACGCCTGTGATAATGGGAAGAGCCATGGTGGTTGTTTTTGTTTTTCATGTTGAGGCTACTAGGGTTATACCTTACTATCTCTGGCACTATTGCAGGTGCTATTCCTCTTAATGCTACTAGTGCGGTTGCTCTATAGCCCTATCATGATGCGGTGTCTTGCTCCCTATGACTAAGAAGCTCTTGCTGGGTTCTTGTCAAGGAACTTAACTTAAGTTCCCGTCCCAGGGATCCATCGTGAACAACAGGGTTCCCTTGTTATGGTAACTTAAGTTCCTCAACAAGAATCCAATCTAGGGTCATCCTCATCCTCACCCCTTGTTCCTCTACGTAAGCTCCGAGTCAAAACATAGAAACCCAAGTCCCCTAAACCTCCTAAACCCCCTAAAGCCTAAAGCCCTGAACCCTAAACCGGTAAAGCCCAAAACCCTTAACCAAAACCCCGAAACCCTATTCCCGAAGTCCAAACTCCTCTCCACAGGTTTCACGAAGGAGGTGCCCCTCTTCTTGCGATACTTGAAGGCGCGGGCCAGTCGGCTAGAAATACTGAGGAAGCCCTGCTAAGTAGAACACCAGTTAAGTTCGCAATGTTTTTATGGCGGCCCTCAGTAGCGTTAGCCTTCGTTGCGGATCGCTCAAGAGTCATGATGACAGCATCGCATGACCAAAGGCCTCATGGAATAGCTGGCTTGATCGGGGTGGGGTTGGCTGGAGATGGGGAAGATGAAACTGCTGCGGGTCTAAATGCAGTGCGCTAATGTTGCTGTTTAATTCCGGCCACGAGAGTGTTGCTGAACTCTACATCAGGGGTCTCCTGCAAACGATACCCGCTGCTTCTTCATCATTCTCAAGCTCTCCAGTCCTTCGTTTTCACCCTTCTCCACTGCTAAGACAATCTGTCATCATCAACATCATCATGACTAGTACCACTGCAACTACTAGCATTACTGTTACTTGTATACTACGAGTCGTGTTATTATTATTATTATTATTCTTGGCCACTCGCGAACTTTCCTTCGAAACCCTCCTGCGGCGAGCAGATGATGTCTAAAGCCAAAATCTCGAACTTCAGAGGTTTAGGGTTTAGGGTGTGGGGCTTCGGCATTGGAGCCTGGTATTGCTTCCACGGAATCGAGTCAGTGATTCCCAACTGAAGAACCCCACGAGGTTGATGAAACAACTGCAGCAAACCCAACCCACAAGGCATAATCTTCTGATTCGCTAGCAAGCAGATCTCAAGAAATCTGTTGCAGGCCCCACTGCCTAGTAGATAGATCCGCAACCGAAACCCTAGACCCCCTCAGTCTAAGCTTCAAACCCCTAAACCCAAAGTCCCATCGCAGTAAGAAGAAACCCTAAACCCCAAAATGCAAGGTCGTGACCGATCAGGAGGGCCGCGGCGATGCCTTCGCTGCCTTCCTCGAGCGCGCAAAGAGTGGTCTAGTCGCCGTGGCCTCGGAGTTCTGCACTTCGTGTTTAGGGTCTAGGGTTCAGGTTTAAGTGGTCAAAGTCTCGGTTTTTGGGTTTAGGTTTAGAGTTTAGGGTGTAGGTTTAAAGGCCTGAGGGTGTCAAGGTCAGAAAGTACGGGATCCTCAACATACAGTAGCTTGCAGACAGTCGGAAGCTGATTGTCCTCATGCCCTGAAAGAAGCTGTGGGGTGCAGCTGCATTGGTTTTGCCATAGTCCCTGAACAGAAGGACTCTCATATTATGAGGACACCCGAAATTGGGACGCTGCTTTTCTGAAGCCCTCGATTCTCGGGCAAGGTTTTCTCTGCTGGCCTAAACCCAGGAAACCTTTTTGCCTGCAGTTGTCTTGGCAGAGCTCTTTGCTACTCCATACATATATATATATATATATATATAACCTCTCTCTCTCTCAATATATATATATATATATATACATATGTTGTTGAAAGCTTGACATCGCGTCTTTAAGCAATCCTGGGCGTGTAGGGATGCGTGAAAATCATCTGTCTTCATCCAATTCGGCACGCTGAGCCGCAATTGCATCCACACGTCATAGAGTATGTACTAGTATGTAACAGTATATGACAGTATATTCTAGCATATTGAGTTTCTTGCATGTTAATTTTCATCATAGTATGTTACAGTATGACATAGTATATTACATAACGGTATAGCCTGGTATAGTACATTACTTTGCATTGTGTTGTGGTACGTATAGTATGCTCGAGTACGTCGCAGGCCGGTCCGTTTCGGCTCACTAGGGGCGCAGAGTGCAGCCAATGCAGAAAAACTCCCCATGTCTACAACTGTAAACCCCCGAACTCCTAGGACACCAGACCTTCAGATGACCCTAAACCCTACACCCCTCCTGAACCCCCAAACCCCTAAACCCCTGGACCCGTAAACCCTAAACCCCCTGAAACCCGAAACCCTGCCTGTGGGAACCTCCAGGTTGAGAGTGATGTCTTCATCACATCGGACGAACTCCTGGTCCCTCTGCGGCATGCTTTTACGATCTAGGGGGTTTACAGGAGTCTTTTTCAGGCTTCGAGTTTACACTTCGGCATCCGGGTTTCGCCCGCTGCATTTACTTTCTAGATGGCATTGTGTTCACCGGCTAGGTTTGAATGCGCAGTCTGGGCCTGCAAAGTGCCCTTCATAGCGTTCTCGAAGAATCGACAAAAGGTCGCCAAGCCCCTGTGTTCAGAGGCGGCCCTAAACTCCGCACCCTAAAGGCCCATTGAGATTGAAAGCCGAATCCCGTGAGAAGTGGGAAGACCTCCCAGCCCGGAAGTCCCTCCCTGACTGCACTTTTCACACCCTTCAGCGCGGCTGGAATTCCTCATTTCATACCTTCAGACCCCAACTTTTTAAGAATTTGGGGCTGAGGGGTCCTGGCTCCTGGGCCACATCCTAGACTCCAGATCCAGAAACTCGCTTTGCAAGAAGTCCTCTGCGAGGCCATCATGTGGAAGAACGGCTACTCCGATGCGGAGCGCAACGCCATCCAGCTCCGCGACAGTATGGTTGGCATAGTACGTACTCACAATGACATCAAAAGCATTACTTGAAACGAGGACTAATAACGAACGGACGAGACAACGACTGCGGCAGTGACGACGACAGGCGGCGACGGCAACGAGGATCGGGAGATAGAAAAAGAGGAGGACGAGGACGAGCGTGAGTAGCAAATGCAACATCATGTTTAACCATCTGTGGTCATGATGATCATCACCATTATCATGGTCGGCAGTATCGCCATCATCGTCATGTTCGTCATGACCGTCGTGAATTATCGTCATCATCGTCCTCATGAATCTAGCTTTCACTGGTCAAATCCCAGGGGCCGCTACCTTACTCAGGACTAAACGAATTCAACTCTTACTCCACGATGCTTGGTGTTAGGACCTCGGTTGCTAGAAGCACGAGCTCCAGGAGTTCCTGTGGGATGTTGATAGTTTTACTCTTCAAAGCCCTCTGGTCGTACAAACTGGGAGCCAAGGTTTACGTTTCCAGGCGACTACAAGTTTCACTACCCGGAGCTGTCTGTGATGTTCGACATTCCGGAGGAGGATACGCGCCTCGGCCAACATATCATGACCCTAAACCCCAAATCCAAAACCCAAGCCCACACACATCCAAAGCTATGGCTTAGGATAGGATACAGCTTCTCAGGGAATACCGCTGGCAAGCTTCGACGCTGGGTTGAGACGGCAATAGCCAGTTTATGCGTTACTACACAATGTATGTTTCGCCATATCTGTCTATGTATGCTCTCAAGGCAGAAGTCAAGCTGCCACCAAGGTACAAATTCTGCATGCGCACTCGCATGGAGGACAGCAGCTCGCCGGCAAACTGCCCCCGGAACCCTAAAGCCGCGAAGCCGCCAAACCGGTCGCCCGTCCAGGAAGCTACCGTAGGGGGCGGAGAAATGAGGGCTGATCTTCCCATCACCATCCCGGCATAGTTCCGCTGTAGTTTTACTGTACCTCCGTGCTGCCCCAGGGCCCCACATTACCCAGTTGCTGTGCAATGCTGTGCGCTGAGGCCCTGAAGATTTGAGCTTCCGCCGAAAGCCCGAAGAGTTGAGATCCCGACCGCGTTGCTAAGGGGATTGCTGCAATGACAGCACAAGAAGAAGTAATAAGTGCTCGTGACAGTGGGACTCAGCAGCAGCAGCAGTAGTAGCAGCAGCAGTAGCAGTCGTTGTCGTAGACGTAGCAGTAGCAGTAGTAGGAGTAGTAGCAGTAGTAGGAGTAGTAGGAGCAGTAGGAGTAGTAGGAGTACTAGGAGTAGTCGTAGTAGTAGTAGTAGTAGTAGCAGTAGTAGCAGCAGTAGTAGTAGTAGTAGTAGTAGTAGTAGTAGTAGTAGTTGTGGTTAGCAGCTTGCGCCGTCCACCGAGGCCACATCGGTGAGTTGGATCACTCCAAGGCATTCTGCACCCCACCTGCTCAAAAAAACTCTTCGTTCGGGCGTAGGCGTAGGACTAAGGTGCAAGGGGCCGCGGATCGGGGTTCTGAACGCTGCCGGGCTTTCAGTGTAAGATTCAGAGACATGTCATAGTACAAGCGGCGGAGGCCATAATTCTAGAATTAACGTGTGATAATGTTTTGATTCTATACTTATACGGGCGGCTGCACCAGTTCTACATGTATAAGGCGGGAGAATCTGCGTTTCTATACATGTAAGGGGACAATAATATTTTTACAACTGGAAATCTTGCTGGTTGTGGGTTCCGCCAGGTGAAAAGGGAAGGACTCATCCGAGACCACTGGCTGCGCCTCGTCGCACGAAGCAAGCACTCTTCTTCAGAAGTAGAACAGGGCTTTTGGGCATGTTGTATTGTAATTGTAATCAGATGAAGAAAGTATGACTCTGTCAGAACGGGAGAAACAGGCCAACCCTGGGAAGCGTCCTGAACCCCAGTAGCCTGACGCAACTACTATACTGCATCCGGTACCGCTAGTTCGGTGACGACGACAAGGACAACAGCGACAACAGCAGCAACAGCAACAGCAAATGACACTGTTACCCCCTCCTTCGCCGCCTCCTACTTCTACACCTTCTGCTGCTCCTGCTTCCACCACGCGAACGACAGCAACAACAACAGCAGCAACAGCCACCACCACTACTGCTACTACTACTACTACTACTGCTACTGCTACTGCTACTGCTACTGCTACTGCTACTGCTACTGCTACTGCTACTGCTGCTACTACTACTACTACTACTACTACTACTACTACTACTACTACTGCAACGACGACGACGACGAGGGCTCCGACTACTACGATACTACGACTAGTTCGACTCCTGCTCCTGAAACCGAACTCTCCCCCAACGCGTATCACCATGAGAGCCAAGGATCTTTGGAACCGGCCTCTTCATTTTCAAGACCTTCCCTTTCTTCAACTATTACTTCGGCTCGGGTCTCTGATGAAGGGTTCCAGGTTTCGTCGTTTAGTGCCCTGGGGCTTGAGATCTTTTCCTTTTTCTGGGCAGGGGACGGCGGTTCGGTGCGGGTTCTTTTCGACAAGTTAGGGGACACCATGAAAGTGCAACAGCATCCACGTGTGCAAGGGCGCAAGATGAATTCCGTATGGTATACTATATTATGCTGTAATATGCACAACCATACTGTAACATACTTTGATGTACTCTCATGTGCTGTTAAAACAAACAATATCGTCTAACATGTACTCCAAATCATTCTAACGTGCTATGACATACTGTACTATGGACTTGGGAGGCGTCCCCCTGCTCCCAGGGGTTCGAGGTGCAGGGTCTAGGGTCTAGGGCTGCTTTGGGATCTTCAGGGTGCTCGAGCTTCAGGCTGGGCTACAAAGATTTCCCGCATCTGCAGGGATCTCGGGATCTTGGGATGAAGACCACCCGCTTAACAACCCAGAGTCTTAAAGAAGTAAGTCCTCAGCGCCGACAGTGGAAGTACATGCTTCGCTTCAACGCATAGCGCGCAAGGCACTCCCCATGACATTGAGGCTCCCTCGGTAATCCTGAAGCTGAATCCACAAACGGCCGCGAACATGCCCCGATGCAGAGCTGACGGGGTTGCGGAATAGGTTCGGTCCCTGCACCCGAAACCTTAACTCCGAAATTCAGACCTGAGCCCCTGAACCCTAAACCTGAAAGCCTCAACCCCGAAACTGTGGATCTGCTTCCTGCAGGCTTCTTGGAAAAAATATTGAGCACTTCGAAGCCCAAGCCTGAAAGCTGCGAACATCCAGGAGGTCGCGTTATACTTCTAAAACAATATGGTTTGTAGAATATTTCATGGTTTGTTATAGTGCATGATGGTATACTATAGTCTCTTATAGTACCTTACAGGTTAGTTCCTGGCCTAAGTATGGGTTATTCCCTTCGAACTCACTCCCGAGTCTCCGAACCTCCTGCTTCCTCCGGAGAAGACCAAGGTGTGAAGGTCTTCGGAACTTCCATGCCGCTTGGTGGCCAGAGGGGAGGAAACGGCTATCCTAAACTTGCTTAAACCCCAAACCTTCAATCGCTGTTTTTTTTTGAATTGTCGACACCACTCGCTGGCCGAGTGTAGAGTCTCGAAAGCCCGTGTTTTGGTGTGGGGCCTAAACCCTAAACCCTAAACCTGTACTTTACTATCATGCACTACAATGTACCAGAAACAGCGCACTGCTTTCTATTCAGCTAGCTATGCCTGCAAGTGCTGTAACCCAGTGTCATATACTATCATGTACCATAATACACTCAAAGTGTACGCTATGATTCTAGTATCATGCAGCCTTTAGAGGACTTTGCATCTCGGGTTGACTGGTTAGCCGGTTCATCTTTACACACTGCGTGTACACACACACACACACACACATTCCTTTGCCTCTTGCATAGGCTGGCACGTATTGCTGTCGGACATAGAAGTTTACACCGTCAGTGTCCTCGTGCAGTGAGGAGACATTACACAGCAATCTCAGCACCGGTCCTTGTCAGCACGTGGCAATGAGAGTGACAGTACGACAGTCTCAGGTGGTGCTACACCATGTGGCACCTTTTGAACCGCATGGTGGCAAAGAAGCTTGGCAGCATCAGGATGACAGTGTGCCAGCCGTATCAGGGCCTCCCGCTCTACAGTCTATAGCCTCAAAGCTCATGTTCTTGTCCTTAATCTTCCGTCTGCGTCTGCAGCCCATGGTACATCCTTCCTTCCCGGCACCATGGCTGCTTGACATCATCTTCGTCACTAGCTTGCGACTTGACCGCTTCTCTGCACCACTCCGGCCGCGGTTTAGCCTTTAGTTTTTCTGTTTCTCGTGGTAGTCCTGACACTTGCCAAACTCTTTTCCCTCCCGGCATTGCAGCATCAAGGTCGTTATCATCTTCTGAAAGTTGCTATACAATAGAAAGTCAGATTTGTTCTCTTAAACAGCCATTTAGCCATGACTTATCAGGACTATTTAATTGGCAACTATTCAAGAAGGAAGTAACCCATGCGGATGTGGATGCGAGATGCCTCTCAGTCTTTCCCACAGTTCCTCATTCGTACAGTGAAGAGCAGTCAGCTGATAGAGTTGTTTTTATTGGAGGGTGCTGTATGTCATGGTACAGTGGTACAGATGACGATCTGCAGGGGCCGCTTCAGGTTTTGAGGCACTGAGGACAACGATTTGAACAGCAGGTGTGGCACAAGACGAAAAAGTGGCCCATCGCATGTAGTGATGCGTGCCAAAGCCCGCTGCTAGTCACACAAGGTCATCCAAATCCTCGCAGTTGTTCTGAAGTGGAAACAGTGGAAGGCCTACTGTGGGCTTGCAGCAAGTGAGGACATGCCGCCGCAACGAGTACATGGCCTCGCAGAAGACAGCGCAGGAGGCCGCAGCCGTTTTTTGAGTTCCGTCTGCATGAAACCTGAGAGCGGATGTGCGTTGCCTCGGCCCTGTGGCAAGCATAGAAGCACGACTCATCATCAGCAGGGAACCCAACCAGTTCAACAGGTTATGGAGGGTGAGGATGCCATCGTCGAGTCCATGCGCAGATTTGCCAATGACGCGAAGTGCGTCGAGTACCTCAAGACATTCAAGGATGCTTGGAAGCAGCTGAAACAGAGGTTTGGGTCTGTGATACTGCACTCTCTCATAATTAGGATGTACTTTTTTTGGAGCACTCATGCTAAGAAGTGTTTGCAGGAAAGCTGAAGTTGAAGTTTATAGCCACAGACTTTCGATTGGGGGCAATTGGTGGCCTTAGGGTTGCGCTGGAGTTGAATCAGGCACCTAGGGAGTTACGGACAGTTCAGGGCTGCGGATATACTGTTTTGGAGCTTCACTGGCCTGGCTTGTTGATTTGGGATTGGGGGCGACTTCGAATGTTTGGCCTGGCTTGCAGACCATCCCTGAGGTAGAGAGAGCGCTAGCAGCACATTACAGCTCAACGTGAGTCGAACCTTTTCCAGCGCGGCTGCTTGCAGCAGGCTTTTCTGTACCTGGGCTTGGGTTCAAGACTTGAAGATAACCGCAGGCCCAGAGCCCAGACACCACCCCACCTCGGCCCTCATAAGCGGCGAGAATGCGCTTGAATCCTCACTAGCGCTTTGTCTGGTCATCCCCGCGTTTCTTCCGGCAGCCCTAAACCGTAAGCCCTAAACCCTGAGCACTAAACCCTAGACCCCAAACACTAAACCCTAAAGCCTGAACAGGAGGACTCCGAGGAAAAGATTGCCAAGTACCGGAAGGCCGGAGTGATGGGTTTAGGGTCCCCAGGACGACGCCGCTCCCGATCTTTTATGTTCCTAGGACTAGTCTTCTATTGCTGTCAGAAGAAAGGTCCAAAGGTAAGACCTACACCGACGAGGTTCCGGGTTTCTGGGGTTTTGTGGTTTGGGCTTCTGGGTTTAGGCTTTGACTCCGGGCCTTGACGAAGACTCCATGTGAAGTTGACCACCAGGTCTTGGCCCAAAGAAGCCCATCATCATCATCATGATCCCACGAGCCTCTCAAAACAAACTTCCCCGAAATCCTTCGGCAGGAGATTGCCCACAAACACAGAGTCTCGAGCTTTGACCCTAACCTAACACGAAGCCCGAAACCCTAAACCTTAAAGCCTACGCCTGCACTAAGCCTGCATCTCGGAATCAAATGTCGACGCTCGAGGCGCTGGTCTTGAAGATGAAGGCAGCTGGGCTTTAAATTAGTCCTGAACCCAAAGGCCTGCAAAGTTGTGTCATGAGCCCTCAACTACAACTTGAAGCTGATAGAAACGCAACCACACCGGCACCCTAAGTCTCAGTCTGAGAAGGTAGTGCTTTGGCTCGTAAGTCTCTAAGAGCAGAACTGTTGTGCTAAGTCTACGTATGCCTCCAAAAGATCCGTCCTAAATAATATGCGCAGCAGATTCGAATCCGCTCATGGGTGTTACCGGCCCGCAGACGGCCATTCTTGAAGGAGTTTCGAGTGTTGAATTCGGGGACCGCCCTTCATGTTGAATGCAATTTTGTGTCAGCTTTGAGTCAGCGTGTGTGGAACGCAAGGGTTTATGTCCAGGATTGTTTGTGTTGCCCCTAAAGCGGATTCAGGCTACCAGGGATCTTTCGGGTGAAAGAGTCTTCAATGAAGGAGGCCCAGCTTTGCGATTGCTGAGAGAATTTAAACATGTGCCACAGTTCAAACAAAGCAATGCAAACTTGTCGAGGAATGCCAATTGAGGGTTACTAGGACCTATGCAATGCTCCCCATGCCGAGGGGTGAACTCTTGACAAGCTTGCAGTCCGTTTTTCTTGTCTTTCACGTCCCCTACTTGGTTCCTCATCCCTGCCTGAATCCTCCCAAACCGAAGGCACCGAATGCCTTTGTTTTGGGTTCACTCGTCATGAGTTCTGGGTCTCGGCGAACGGCAAGGATCCCGTGTTGTCTCTACAAGCGCTGTTGCAGCATGCCCACCGAAACCGAAAACCTGACACGAAGCCTCAACGTGAATGCGCAAATCCGTGAAAAACCTTACACCCAGAACCCCAAATCCTAATATGGGTACCAACACTATTTTGGGGTTCCTTACCGTATTTATAGTATAATGGGCCCCAAAACCCAATTCCAATTATTAAGGCCCCCAAGTCCTATACCCGAACCGGGCCAACTTCGACCTTCTCCGACCTGGCACTGTGAGGATGACCTGTCAGAGAGGGCCCAGAAGCAATTGCAGGCCATTGCCGCTTTCGAGGCAGGTGGCTATCCTCATGGGTGGTTGGTTGTTACCTGTTTGTTGCACATGGCTTTTGCTTGTTGCTGCCTGGTTCTTCGTTTTTGCTTGTCGAGTAGCGGTGGTATTTTGACGTCGAGTTTCTGTTGTTGAAGGTGGGACTCTGTGATGGGTGGTTGCCTGCTGGTGTTGCTGTTTGTCGGTTTTCCTACACCCTACCCTAAACCGTCGGGGTTCTTTGCCTGCTCCGTGCATGTCGCTGGATTTGGGATGTGGTACGAAACTCCGATGATGGTGAAAGCTCCACGGGACATCCGCCGGCTGTCTTTTGATTTGGCATCCCGGGGTGATGTCGACTCAGTACTTCGGGCTTAAGAGAGTCTAGGCTCTACACCCCGACGCCTGAATGCCCCCACCGTGTTCTCCGAGTCCTTTCCTGGAAGGCTGGTATGGGCTCTGCCATGCAGGATCTGGTCGTCCGTGAGGCATGTCAGTGAGTTTGGATGTCGCGAGTTTATCAGAGGAGTCTCACTTCTTCATCACAATCCTAGGAGGTGCATAATCCTACACTATGCGACCCCGTTTCATTGGGCAGTTGAGGGCCCGCAAGGTAGGATTCGCAAGTTTCGCAGCATTTGGTGTCGACGGACTGGAACAGGGCCGGATTCTGACGAACACGGGTGACGATTGGGGTGGTGGCTCTGAAATGCAAGCCTACTGTATAATACTATATATGTGCTTACAATATCATGTTCAATATGCTGCTATATAATGCAGATGCATCATCCAAAACCCCAAATCCTAAGCCCTAAACCCCAAACCCGAAACCTAAACCCCAAATCCTAAACCCTAAACCCGAAACCTAACGCCCCAAATCCTGGACCTTAAGCCCTCAACGACGAGATCGCAGACTTCTGCGTGAAGGTCGCGGAGGATCAGCAGACCAACAAGGAGAGGACACGAGCACTCATTGTGAGCGGGGCATTCGAGGGGAGGAAGAACAATTGGACGGTCGGTGCAGCCTATTTGATACATTTTGGGAGGTTTTACTCGACGGCATTCGACTCTTACGAGCGCCAGCACATGGACTCCCTTGCGTCTACCACGACGTGGAGTGTTGCTGGGAACCGCATGTCGGATACTCTCCCTGCTGTGATCATGGTCTTCAGCTCCACGGACGAGGAGATGGAGGGGGAGATTTACTCCCTGACGATGCAGGCTTGGGAGACACTGATGGAATGTGCCCTGATTGCATCGGGTACGGAGGACGAGTACTACAGAGGCTTGCCCAGGCCAGTCTATCAGGAACATGCTTTAGGGACGTTGTCCGTGCCCTGTCGACCGTTCCCGGAAGTGCTCTCCGACAACTTTCAGTGGGAGCAGCTGAAATACTGGAAACGTGCTCCGGAGACGGAGGAGGTGCGCCTCGACGCACAAATCCGTTTCTACTGAATCCGCCACTGACGGCAACCGAGGAGATCGAGGAGATCCTCGACGCCGTCTGGGATGCATACACCACAGTCACTGAGAGTTGTTTTTGTGCCCTCGACGCGTGCTGCCTGTTGTCAGGCGGCACCATTCACACTTTTTACTTTGTTCTCGCTGCCGCCGTTTTTACGTATAATTGCACTTTTGGCAGCTTCAATCTCGCTGAGTTTATCAACTGCGTTCGCCATTCCGTTTGGGAGACAGGATCATATTTTGGCGACTTCTTTAGCCAAATCTTCATCGCTCATCGTATGTCACAGGAGTCCCAACTCGGTACGCTGTTGGAGTCACGCAGTGGAGGCATCTGCCACTACTGCCTCCCGACTGGCTACCAGTTTCAGAGTTCGGACGACAAAGCATATGTTGACGCCATTGCGTATGCACACCGGTGCAATCGCTGTACTCTGCGCCACCTTGTTACGTGGGACCGTCCGAGATATGTGTCGGAGCGGTATCATCACAAGCTCCTCCATCGCTGTCAGCATGTCATCTGCGCTGACCGGACGAAGCTTCGTGGGATGCTCGCAAACATCAATCTGACTCACTCAAACCTTGTCGATGATCCCGGCCTGGATAAGCGACACAGTTATGAGACGTATCTCGCCCACGCCGTACGCGCAGAACTTATGATCCTTGGCGGATCCTTCGAGTTTTTGCCTTTTCCCAGTGGCCTTGGTGTGGCCACGCCGCAAGTGGAGACCTCTGAAGCCGCGACTGGACTTTCCGGCGGCACTAAAACACCGGCTGATATCGCCAGTCAGACCGGGGCATCCAGATTCATTAAAGTAGGGGCTCCACTAATCCCATACACCACAGCACCGCCTGGCACGGTCGCCGACCACGCCAAGGTAATTGTTGAATGGGAGAAAGTTGATCTGCGGAAAGACCTCGCTTCAAAGATGGAGGCCTCAGCCGCATTAGACGCAGATGCCCAAATTTGCGTAGTTGACGACGAACTCCTGGACACGCATGGCATCACAGCCAAAGCCAGGGTATGTATGCCGGGCATCACGAACGAGGATCTTGCGAAAATCCACGTTGCAACCAACACGCATGAGAACGCTCTTGCAGCGATCGGGAACCGCCATTATGCGGAGAAAGACACGGAATTAGAATACGAAGGGATCAAGATTCGAAACGCGGTCGGAAACCCCTCTGAGCTCATCAGACGTTCATTGCACAGCTTCTTAGCCGAGATTGTCCCAACCATTATGGATATTGACGAGGCTGAGATCAAGCGCACCGACGTCGAGGTGGTTGAAATTCCGATGAGTGAGATTGTGTCTGAAGCACACGGGAAAACCATCTTCCCCATCCACAAACTCATCGCTGAGATCGCACCCAATAGCTTCACGGAAAAGATGATAGACGACAACTACGAAGCTACATCCGGATCCCAGATGTTGAAAGACCCAGTAACGAAGGCATTTGTGAAGCCTAATGAAACACTGGGCAAAGTAAAACCGCGTCTGATCCAGCATAAGGGTCCACAGGGCACGGCTATGAACTCACTGATGAACAAGACGATTGAAGAAAGTCTCTTTAGATTATCTTACTTTCTGGTTCGACCAATCAAGGGGACGGATCATCGCGGAGTAAGCAATCGCATGCTCCAGTTCTATCAGGAGTTCCGTGACGGAGGTTTCTCATCGACGGACTTCGGGTCCTTCGATTCCTCAGTCACAGATAAATGCACCAAGGACTTGCGGAAACCGGGTTTGCGCAGGATCGTCGAGGAGGCCTTAATGAAGGCTGTCGCCGAGAAATTTCCCGATAGTGCTGACTTGGGAAACGCCTCACGATTGAGGTGGAAGAAGCAGGACAGAGTGCTCTTTGACTCATTGACGCTACTGGTGTCTGTAATGATCCGATACTCAGGGGATGGGCTGACCTCGGTCGGCAATTATTTCATCAACTGGAGCATCGATCGTACTGTGGACGCCTTGGCTGAGGGGTTGTTTACTATCTGGGACTGGTCCAGCTACACGCTCGCCGAAATCGTCGAAGCGTTACCATCGTTCCTGGAGGATAAGGCACACATCGAGCACCTGCTAGACTTCGTGAAACAAAAAGCAAAGTACACTAGTCAGACCATCGCTCGGGAGTCAAAAGGCGTACCAGTCAAGAAAGCCGACTCAGAATTCATGTGTGGGGAGGGAGATGACAAAGTGAAAGCCTACAGGTGGAAATTCATCCAACACTTCACCTGTCGGGACAAGAAGGGAAAATCGGCTCGTGAGGTTTTGGGCATCATTACAGGAGTGCTGTTCGTTCTCGCTGGCATGTGTTTGGAGCCACAGGATCGTTCAGGCAGAGTATCCGTTGATCGCCTCATTGACCCGACGAACCGTATCGAGTTTACCAGCCGAATATTTGTCCCGGTCCTTCAGGGCACCTACATGGTCAGTTTCCCCAAATTGCGCAAGACCTTTGCCGCGGCGACGGTGACATTCAACGTCACCGACGTCTTTGACGAGGCCGCCGTAACAAAGATGCTGTCAATAATGAGTATGTGTGATCAGTGCGTGCTCCAGTTTGCTTTCTACTCGATGTTATGCCGCTTTTACATGTCACGCGTGAGGAACAACGTTATCAAGACGAATAAGCGGAAATACGAGTGGTGGGAGTACAAGCTAATACTGCTCATTAGCGACAACAGCATCGCCAACACGTTTCAGTCTGTCTACTCACATCTCAAGGAAAAAGCGGGGCGGGCCGACCCCGGGATACAGTCTGAAGTTGTTGCGGCGCTTGCAAAAGAAACGCGATTGGAAAAACACCAGATCAACGACTTGGTGGATGCATTTGATGGCGAGCAAGGAGACGACCTTGGATCTGTGTCAGCATTAGTACAGCGCTATGCTGCCGTGCTACCTCCCGTCTGAGGACGGGACGGCACTACATTGCTCACATGGTACGGTCGTAAAAGGCGCGCGTAGCCAGCGTGCGCCTGGAGGAACCAGACGCAGTTTACCGAGCCACTGCGTTTCCGCCCGTGTTCAACTAAAACCGAAGTACCCCAACCCGCGTGGGGGAATTACTGGGCGCGCACCTACCAGTAGGTTGGGAGGCCTTCTGACGAGCGACTCCCCCTCTGTTTGCCGGAGGATAGCGCGCGAAAGCCCGTGTCTCTGAGGGGAGCGGACCCGAACTGGAATCAGGAGACACGCGGGACGTGTCGGTGTGTGCTGGCCCCTTAGGCAAGGGCCTCACTTTTGGGGATGGTAAACCTGCCCGACTAACGCGGAGAAAGGCGATACGCCCTGCCCCGGAATGGCAACCGTGGGTAGACGTCCCGGAAATGGACTACGGCACCCGATCCTGCTCCCCCGGACTGTATGTCTGGCATGCCCGTGGAGGGGACGGGGTTTCACAAGGATTCCAGTTGATAATGAACCTTGTCACGTAGTGGGCTGCTCCGGCCCCGGCGCTAACGAAGTGTTGTGGATGGGAGGGCTGGTGTCGACGGAAGAAGTGCAAGCCACACATGGATGTGATGTCGCGGAGATGCTCGAACTGCAATTTGTGGCGGAGCAGGGTGGTTTCGAGTCCCAAGCCTGATGTGTCCGTGCTCGCCTGACCTTGAGGTCTTCCGTAGGCAGAGACAGATTTGCAGGCGGAAAAAGGCGCTTAAAAAAAAAAAAAACCCGAAATCCTAAACCTCAAATCCCTAGGCCCTAAACCCTAAACCCGCGAAACCCTAAACCCCAAGCCCGAAGCCCTAAACCCGAAATCCTAAACCTCAAATCCCTAGGCCCTAAACCCTAAACCCGCGAAACCCTATACCCCAAGCCCGAAGCCCTAAACCCGAAATCCTAAACCTCAAATCCCTAAGGCCCTAAACCCTAAACCCGCGAAACCCTAAACCCTAAGCCCGAAGCCCTAAAACCCGAAACCTTATTCAGCTGCCGTGTCCTGCAAAGTCGAAACCCGGAGCTTTGAGCTCCGACGTCTAAGCTCCCGGCCCGAAGGAAGCCTGGGTTTAGGGTGTAAATATCGCCTTAACATGAACATGATCCCCGGCTTTAGTTTCTCCCTGGACCCATGCCCCCATGAGCACCAAATCCCAAAGCTCGTGCCAGGCAGCCGCGTCCTTCAAGGAGAAGTTCCCCACGGACAAGGGGATGCAAGACAAGGCATTGGGTTTAGAGTTTGGAGTTTTAGGTCTGGGGGTTGGGGGTTCAGGGAATCAAGGCCTTCGGGCCTCGGGTTTTGGGGTTTGGGAGTTTGGGGATTCAGGGCAAGCCTTAGATTGGAGTTGGCTTCGGGTTCTGCGCTTCGGATGCGGAGGTTGGGTGGCACGCTAGAAGAGGCTTAAGACGAAGCACAGGTCAGATTGTTGAAGGGCCACAAAGAACAGCCGGTTAAGTTCTCAGGACTGCTGCAGGCATTCCCGGAAGCAGTGTGTCATACATTCAGTAGAGTATAACGTCATGCCACTTCACATGGTATGAGTGCGTGTTGCAATATTCAGCTTAAAGTATAGCAGTATAGCATTAGTTCAGCAGCGGGCAATTAGTCCAGACACTTTTAGGTTCGGAGCATTCCCCCAACATGCTATTGCAGTTCCAGTTCTACTTCATACCCTCTGCTACTCTGACCAAAGACCCTGCAGCGCTCACACCACACGACCGGTCAGCAGATACACCTTGCTACCGTAAACCCAACTCCCAAAACCCTAGATCCGAGACCGGGTTATAGAGTCTTCGGCCTGTCTTCCAGAAGCAAAGAGGGATCGCGGCTTCATGGAGCTTCTGGATTCTAGGGTTGAGGGTGTGGTTTTTTTTCTCGAGTCTAGAATCTCGGCATCCCCTCGTTTATTCACCGGCCCGGCACTCCGTGCTGACTCGCAGTCCCGAAGGGTCTGGTCTCAGGATGCCGCGCCTGATCTCTTGAGATAGGCCAGTGGGCGTTTCTGAAAAGAAGTCTTGAGCCCTCCCTCCCATCCCGACTTGATCGAACCAAAACCCCAAACCCCGCCTTAAAACCCTAAACCTAAACCCTAAACGCTGAAACCTTACTCTCTACACCCTGAAACCCTGAAGCCCTAACCCCTGAGCCAAACACAAAACATCCAGAAAAAAAGGCCTTTGCAGCTGCAGTGAAGTCGCTCTCGGGAGCAACCGTGGAAGCTGCAGAGGCGAGGGAGACCCGACACCTCGCACGTTTCAGGGCCTCCCCGAAGGTCTTAAGAGGTATGTAGGGTTTAGGGCATTGGGGGTGCATATCGTTTTTTTGGGTTTCGGTGTTTAGGGCTTCAGGGTGTAGGGTTTTGAAGTTTGGGGGTTGAGGATTGAGGGTGAACTGTATAAAACTGCGTCAGTGTAGGGCACACGTGCTGACGGTCATGATGATAGTAGTCAGAATCATGCTCGACATCACATGGGCGACGGCAAAGACGAGGTTGAAGATCATAGACTGACCCGCAAGAGCATGATGATGACAACACAGTCAACAGTGGTGATGATGGTGACAGTGTCAACGAAGATGACATTGGCAAAGCTGGTTTACAGTGATTGTTTTCATCATGTCCGCTTGTTCCATTACTTTCCTTACCGTCTCAAGCCCAAAGCAAAGGCTTAATTTCAGTCTGGATGTGAGTAGGTAGCCATATGCACAACAGCAAAGCAGCGACAACAGCAACGGCCAACAGTGGCTGCAGCGGCGGGTGGTGTCGGCGAGGGCAGTGGTGCAGGGTCGTCTAACACTCTCAGGCTTTCCGATCAGTGAGTATCAGCCCGAAACCGGACGGAAAGCGCAAGCCATAATTTCTAAAAGCCCCACAAGTGCATTACTACCTAGGCCAGATACCCTATCCAGCCACGATAAACTTCGCACCTGCACACGCCAAGGCCCCAACGCCTCTCGTCCCGGATTTTGACATGAAATACTGAGCACCTGCAAAAGAAGTTGAAGGTATTCGGCCTTATCTCAAACAGCGGCTCGAAGCAGGACCCCGTCGCTGCGCATTTCGCCAGCTCGTTCCAGTCTCTGCAGGACGGATTGCGGCGAGAGTAGAGTCACGCTGCGCTGCAGGGTTTTACGGTTCAAGGTTTAGGTTTCAGCCTTTTCGTAAATTCTAGGGTTCAGGGGTTTAGGGTTTTCCGTTTTTAAATTGGCCTTCAGGGCTTTTAGGGCTTAGTATGTTCGCGGGCCCAGGTTTAGCCAGGACTGTGCGTTCGGTATTGGCTGGTAATTGGCTGGTATTTAGGTACTGGAAGCTTTTGGATATGTGTTTCTGTGGTTTCAAGTTTCGATGCGCGGTTTCTATGAGAGTTCCTCCTAGAGGACTTAATCTGGGGGCGTTAATCTTGATTCTTAGGGCTTCGGGGTACCTTATGCCATGATTACAAGTGGGTCTTGGCCTTGGAGTTCAAGCTCAGGCTCCGTAATCGCGAGGTGACGCGAGGTGCAAGGTCTCCCGTGACCTTCTAGGGTTGAGGGTTTTGGGCCGTGACCTTCTAGGGTTGAGGGTTTTGGGCCGTGACCTTCTAGGGTTGAGGGTTTTGGGCTTAGGAGTTATAGGGTTTAAGGTTTAGGTGCTGACTTCTGCCCTCAAATTTCCTGCTGCTTTCGGGGCAGACGTAGTCATTCCGGAGCCAGACCAGACCCCAGACCCTAAACTCAAAGTCTGAATCGGGAGTCTCTGGTTTTTTGCGTGGATCCGATCTAAGCTCCTGGATTCTTCGATGCAGCCTCGAACAGAGGCGGACCCTTGGATCGAGGCAAAGTGCATTGCATAAGAAAAAGCCTGTGAGCCCTACGCCGGCCCCAAACCTAAAACTCCAAACCCTAACTGTCCCCTGAACCCAAACCCGAAAACCCTAGGCCCCAAAGAGCAGCAACGCATGTGAGGGAGTGGACCTTGCGACTGCGAAGGCATGGCTTGTTGCCTGCAGGATCCAGGGGTGGAATGGGGCTCGTTTATAGGTACAGTTTGGGTACGGCCCCCACTCAGTAATAGTTGAATAATATTCATAATATAGATATATAAGGACCTTAAGAGTAGCCCTATTATCGACTCTTACTGTATGGGGGCCGTACCTAAGGTACAGTATAACATACTCCGAAAGCCTAGTTGAAGTCTTCAGGCCCCCGCATATCAAGTCATTATAGTACCCTTGCAGACAATCAGCCGCAGCCTCAAGAAGGTCTAGGGGGTTCAGCAGACCAGAAACAAGGCCAAGCAGCTCAAGCGTTTTCCCAGACGCTTGCGGCATAGAACTCAGCTAGTTGGCAATCTTCATAGTAATCCAGAGGGACCACGAAACCCTGAACCTTAACCCCGAAACCCCAAACCGCAAGGCCTCAAACCCCAAACCCTAAACCTTAAACCCCTAAACCCCCACACCCTAAACCCCTAAACCCCTAAAGCCCCACACCCTAAACTCCTAAACCCCTAAACCCCTAAAGCCCTAAACCCTAAACCCTACCCTTAACCTCTAAACCCCAAAAGCCCTAAAGCCCTAAACCCTAAACCCTACCCTACACCCCTGAAGCCCCAGAGCCCTAAACCCCTAAACCCCTAGAGCCCTAAGCCCTACCCCAAACCCCCAGAGCCCTAGAGCCCTAAGCCCTAGCCATTTCAGGCGGATCCGAAGGGCTCCTTAGCCGAGCGCGTGGCTTTCGCGCAGCAGGCCAAGGAGAAGGAGTTCCAGGAGCTCCGGTCCGGGGACGCGCTTTTGGGTTCGGGGATTAGGGTTTCGGGCTTGCAGGGTTTATAGGGTTTAGGGTTAGGGCTTGGGGCTTTAGGGTAGAGGGCTTTCGGGTTCGGGGATTAGGATTTAGGGTTTAGGGCTTCAGGGCATTGGGCTTTTGGGTTCGGGGATCAGGATTTAGGGTCTTGTGGGGCGGGTTAGGGGATTAGGGCTTTGCGGGTTCAAGGTTTTCTGCCTCTAGGGTTTCGGGGTTAGGGGATCAGTGACGTTAAGTTGCCTTGTGCTCGTTCGGGCCTTTGGAGTTGTTGGGTTGGCATTGCGGGGTAGAGGGCGAGATGTGAAACTTAGGGAACTTTCGGAGTTGAGTGCGCCGACACCGCCGCGCCAAGCATCGAACGCGGAAAATGACGCACAGGGGGGTCTCGTCCACGAAGTACTGAATCCTGCTGCTCTCCCATCAGTCCTTCCATGCCAACAGCCTTCCCTAAAGCAAAGTTTGCGGGCTTCCTGCAGGGGTAAGACTTGGAAACCTCGGGGCGGCTGTTGTGGGAGCTTCAAGAGTGCGTACTCAACTTGGGATTTCCGGGCGTGGGTTTGGATCTGCGCATGAGGTCTTAACGTCTTGAAAGCTTTGGCCAGAACCGGGGCCCTGAATCCGAGACCTGGACATGCAGCAGCTGGGAAGGGAGACCCTGTTCCCTACGATGGGGGCCTTAATTTTTTTATTAGGGTTTTGGGGTATATCATACTACAATTACAATAAGGAGCCCCCAAAATATAGTATGGGTAATTAAAAAGGCCGCTGCATTACATCCGTCAGCGCGCCAGAGCCCTCTCCTTCCGAACGCCCTCAGGAGACTTTCATGGTTTCCGCGAAGGAGGCAGAGGAGGTGAAGGCTCTGGCGAGCAAGGCCAAGAGCGGCAAGGACATTGGGGGCTTGGGTTTAGGGGTTTAGGGTTTAGGGGTTTAGAGTTTACGGTGATATTGGCATAGGTTTGCCATAGTCACAAGTGTGTATAAGAACATAATACCCAGAACATTTGATGCCCCCGGTTGTCACCATGGGACGACAGTGACTTCAGCAACCACTCTGAATTTGACCTCATTGTGTTTTTTCCCGGTTCTGTCGGTGTTTGGGCTCGGAGAGTTTGTTTCGAGGCTTGTTTGCCAGAAACGCCTGCGCAAAGAAGTGACTACAATCTGATTTCATGAATATAGGTCTACCATAAAACCTTTCACTAATGTAAGGGCCTTAATAACTAGAACAAGGTTTTGCGGGCTCCTGATTATATTTGTAACTATAGTAAATATAATCTACCCTCAAACACTATCCTAAATTTTACACCCCAAAGCCTACACCCTCTTGGCGGAGTGGTAATGTGGCCGGATTGAGGGAGGTTTGTCGGATGTGGATGTGTTTTCCACGGGGCGGCCACACGTGCCCGGTCGTTCTGGCTGTTGAAGCCTCTCGCGGACCTCTGGGCCACGTAGAAAAGGATCTCAAATGAAAGCCCTAAACCCTAAACCCCTAAACCCCAAAACCCTAAACCCCTAAACCTTAAACCCTAAACCCTTAAACCCTAAACCCCTAAAATCTAAACCCTATAAAGCTTTGAAGCAGGACTACGACTTCTCCAAGCTTCCTGCGGATGCTTTGCAGCGACTCGAGGCCTCGGGTGTCTGGGGGTTCAGGGTTTTAGGTTTTAGGGTTTAGGGTTTAGGGTTTGGGGGTGTGAGGGTTTAGGGTTTTAGGGGTTTTCGGGGTTTATGGTTTGGGGTTTGGGGAACTCTAGGGTTTTAGGGTTTTGGGGGGCTTGGGGGGCTTGGGGGGCTTGGGGTTCAGGGTTTGATAGCCCCTACACCCTGACCCCCAAAGCCTCCTAAAGCCCCAGTTTAGTATTTCGGGCTTTGGGGATTGGCGTTTAAGTTTTGTGTTTAGGGTTCAAGGGGGTTCCGGGGTTCGGCACGAAGGTCTTGAGTTGGGAATGCTTCCCACCCAGCCTTGCGCCAGTACGCTGTCGGAGCAGCCTTCATCAAGAAGGGCCCCAACACCATAAACTCATAAACCCCGACGAATCCGAAACCCCAACACGTATTACTAATTACGCCTTCTTGTTCAGGCCTGCATAGATCTTCTTACAGTCAAGGCAATGGTACAAGGCGGTGAGCGATGAACGATGGCGCAAGCCACGATCTCCCCGCACTAACTTGCCATGTCTGGGTCGGACCTGGGTCAGAGGTAGCATCCTGAGAGCCAGCCAAGCTCTAGATAGAGAGGTACGGAGCTTGCGGTTCAGGGTTCGATGGTACGATTTGCTCTAAGCCACCAGGCCCATACAAAAAATATCGAGGTATCCAGGCCAATTCGAAGCCCGAAGCTACACCCCCTTGAGGCGATAAGGCCAGGGCTGGGTCAGTTGCTGGAGTTTGAAGTCTGCTTTGTGTCCTGATATGGGAAGGTCAGGGAGTCCAGTGCACAGGCTTTGGGGATAGATGCAGATAAAAGTAGCTCAGTAGCGTAGGGCAGTTTAGAATTGACAGTACCTGGACATTTCAGGGTAGGATTGCCATTCCTTTGGAAGGCTCTCTACACCAGCATCAATGCCAAGGCTGGACGACAGACGAGGGTGACGTAAGACATACAAAGAGCCTCGAAACTTAGCCCTGCCGTCCAGCGTAGTTACCCCCAACAACAGCGAAGTGTTCTGCTCAATTTGGCTTCCGTATCATGACCCAGGAGGCGTTAAGCCCCGAAGCTACCTGGCTACAGACTCGCCAGAAGTCCTCGGCCATCAACTCCACAACTCCCTCACATCCAACCTTGAACTGTGGTGGCTTAGAGGGCCAGTGTCTAGCCTGGGCTTCGGGCTTGTTTTAGGGATCCCAGAAGTTTTTGGGTCCCGTAGATGCCACAGTGTAGACAACTACATGGCGCCTTTAGGTTTAGCACTGAAGGTCTAAGGCCAAGAGTTTCGGGCATCAGAGGCAAAGCAGTGCAACGTCCATGTCTACGAGGGGTTCACGGTAATGTAAGGCATTGATGACGGTTATCGTCATGGAGATGGTACAGATGATGATGCTGATGAAGATGGTGATGCTGATCAGGATGATGGTGATGATGATAGTGAAGATACTGGTGATGATGATGGTGATGGTGATGGTGAGGATGGTGACGATAGTGATGATATCCGTGGTAACGGCATGCGCAACAGTGGTGATGGTGTCGACGATGGCAGTGATGCTTCGGCTCGTTGTTTTGTACATATGTATGTATGTATGTATGTATGTATGTATATATATATATATATGTACGTACATATATGTATGTATGTATGTATGTATGTATGTATGTATGTATGTATGTATGTATGTATGTATGTATGTATGTATGTATGTATATATATATATATATAATATTGATGGTGGTGCTCCTGCCGCCGATGTTGATGGTGATTATGACGACCGCGATGGCGGTCCGTAATAATCTTGGCAGTGCTGCATCGTTTGATTATCTTCACATGTATGGAAACAGGCTCAACACCACTATGTAAGCTTAGCCGCAACAGACTTTACTAGTAATCAGGTCAGCTAAGAGCAATCAAAATACCACCACCAGCACCACCAGCAGCAGCAGCAGCAGCAGCAGCAGCAGCAGCAGCAGCAGCAGCAGCAGCAGCAGCAGCAGCAGCAGCAGCACGACCATCACCAGCACCACCACCACCACGACGACGACGACTACTACTAGAACTCGTGCTATTAATACTAGTGGTTGTAAAATAGTAGCTATCAAAAGAACAGAAATAATTACAACGTTGAACTTTAACCATCATCATCATGACCATCACCATCACTATCATCATCTGAGACGGAGAAGCATCAACATAGTCATGATGATCATCATCGACGTCGTCATGATCATCATCATTACCATCACGATGACCCATCACCACCACTATAGCATCATCATCATCATCACCATCATCCTCATCATCAAAATTCCCATCATCATCCATCTCATCATCCATCATCATCATCATCATCATCACCATCATCATCCGTCATCATCATCATCATCATCATCCGTCATCATCAGCATCATCATCATCATCGTCATCACCAGCAACAACATCAACATCATCATCATCACCACCATCATCATCATCATCATATTCCTCGTCTTCAATCTTCATATTGACTCTTCGCCATCGCCATCGTAATCATCACCATCACTATCACCACACGTCATCACCAGCACTGTAAATAATCATCATCACCGTCGCCACCGCCACCGCCAGCAGTACCTTGGTTTCGGGTTTGTTTGAATTACTCCGAGGGCCCAGGGTCAAAGCATTCGCTCTGATGTCTTAGGTCCAGGAGCCTAGGAAACAGCATGTGGAGATTCTGGTCGAATGCATCAAGGTATCGATTCGTTTGTCGCCGAATTGCGCACTCGGACGAAAAACTTCCTGAGGGCATTTGCAGGGGGCTATCGCGAGGCGAGCTCTCGCCGATCACACTCTAGGTGATTTGTTCTGGGAGTGGCAAGAAGCTTTCATCGCTGTTGAGATTGGCTTGGTTTTCGTGCTTGGCCAGTGTGCCAAGCAATTATGACGCCACGCTCAGAGATGGGTGAAGAACGTCTTTTTCCCTTCCGGTCGGTTTCGGCCTTGCCAACCCGCCTCTAAGCCCCAAGCCCTAAACTCGCCCGTTATCGCCCTGAACTCCCTTCCCATACAATGGGCAGCACCGTTAGGCCTTAGGGTAGGGTTAGGATTCAAGTAGAAGTGTTGGGTTTAGGTTTTAGGGTTGAAAGTGCAGGTTGGCTACTCCTTGCCTGAATCCTTGGGCAGCAAGCCCATTGCTGCAACGGGCGACAGTGCAGCCAACTCCTACGTAGACAAGGCCTGTGGCAAGAGTTTCCGTGAGTTTTCGGTTTGAGGTATTAGAATCGGGAGTGCATGGAGAGACAGAAGGCAGACGAAGCAGACACTGGCACGGATGATCATTCACCCTCCCTCTTTGTTCATGTCACCAACCCTACGCTGCACGAGCTCTTCATGCTGTCAAACTATGCGATTCAATCCCCCTGAAATTCCCTGAACCTAAACCTTGGCCTAAGAGGCATCCTAAAACTTCGCGGGCCCAATTTCTTCAAGGACCGGGCAGACACCCTGAGCTCAACGCTCCTCTTCACCATCAACTCTCCAAAACGGCCGTCAAACTGGGACCTTTAACGCCCAGAGCTCCAAAACAACACGTGATACCCGCAATCCCAAATCCAGCCGCAAATCCTTTCCCTAGTACGTAGGTCGTTGTGGGCTTCGACGCTTGCAGAGTGTGTAGCAGCGTCCAAACCCCAAAGCCTATACCCCCTAAACTCCACATCTCTGCATCACATGGCATGCCCCCAAAAAAGCTCGAAACCCTGAACCGAAAACTCTGTCTCAAGTCCCGGAGCATCAAATCACAAACTTCTGAAACCTCCCTCCATTTTGCAGGGATATTTCCTTAAGCAAGTTTCTGTTTCGGTGCTTTCTGGGAAACCCTAAAAGCCTACAGCCCTAGAGCCCTAAAGCCCTAAAGCCTAAACCCTAAACCCCAAACCCTAAACCCCAAACCCCAAAGCCTAAACCCTCAACCCTGAACCCTAAACCCTAAACCCTTAACCCTAAACCCTAAACCCCAAAGCCCTAAAGCCAAAACCCCGCGAGGTGAACGCGCAGCTCGAGACCGCTGCAGCGAAGCTCCGGGATGCCCGGCTCAAGGCCTTTGTGCAGGCTTTCTGAAGGCCGGGATGGGGAAAAGAACTGCTTTGTGGTTTTGGGGTCCAGGGTTTAGGTTTTAGGTTTTAGGGTTTAGGGTTTAGGTGGGGTTCAGGGTTGTTAGACTTAGGGTCGAAGATAGAAGGCTGTAAGGCGCTACCCACATTATAGAGAATCTTGTGCTCTTCAAAACTACAGGCATTTGGGGCATCTGCAACTGACGAAGGGTAGTTGTGCCTTTTAGCTTTGGGTGTGACACTGAGGTTTCTGCATCGCGAGGGAGGTGGTTCTCAAGAACTGATTGCCCTACCGAAGTCTACAACATTCCTCGAACCCGACACTTCCATCATGTTTGCACGGTATGTTGCATCTGCCGGCCCTTCCTGGCATGTCGGAACTTCGTAAGCAGCTGGCTTTCAAGGTCTGTGGTTTGAGATCCTCGTGTCTACACGTGTATTATGGGGCTTAGCAATCCTGAAGCCCCACGCCCCAAACTGTACACATTTTTTCCCACAGTAAAGTCCTTGCCTCCAAACTCGTTAAACCCCAAAGCCCCGCCGTAAACCCCCAAGCGACCTGGTTCAGCGAAAGGTGACGATATTGAAACGATTTTTTCAGACGTTGCGGAGGATCCTCGGCCGCAAAACCCTTGTTGCCGAAAGTTATGCCCGCGACAGTGGGTGATACATTAAAGATTGAGGGTTTATGTTTAGGATGTATGATTGTTTTGGCCATTGTTTTTGCAGGCTTTCACCTATCGCGGCCGTCGTTGCGAGAACCATTTATTGGGAAGGCAGTAGACGCAGCACTGGCAAGTCGTTTGAGTCTTCGAGTTGGGTCATGTCATGACGATCTGGAAGTAATTGTTCTCTTATAGACTTTCTGTTAGGAAAGTACAACGTCACACAGAATCCTAGCCCTGCCTTCGGGTGCGATAGTCCGCCCTCTTTGAGCAAGAGTTCGGAGCCCTGCAGGGTTCAGAGGTTTGGGCTTATCCAAAGGTTGGAAGTAGGATATACGGTTTTCGGAATCTTGTGGGTTACTTGGTTGCTATAAACCATTACCAACTTGCAGGAAAGGATCATTCCTACCGCAGTGTTTGCAAAGCACCTAACACCCTGTCAACGTCAGAAGCCTCTTGGGCCCCAGAATCCCCAAGCTCCAAGCCCAAAATACTTGAACTCAGCCTTCAGGAACCTAGACTTGCGGCTCCGATGCTCGTGAGCGAGGGGCCGACTGGGATGAAGGAAGGAAGGAATGAGATGTAGGGTTTCGGGTTTTCAAGATATGGAAAGCAAAGCTACAGGGCGTGAACGATAGGTGGTACAACAGCGGGGTTTTGTCAGAAGAGACGGAGCGCGAAATCTGTTGACATTTGGATGATTGCTACTCGTTTATGGCTGAGCTCTTGCGCCGGTGAAAACCAATCGCAACTCTTCTGTGGCTGAGAGACAGGGACATGTTGACACTTGTAGTCTTTGGTATTCATCATCATCATCACCATCATCAGCATCTTCATCATCATCAGTATCACCAGCATCACCGGCATCATCACCATCAACATCATCATCATCATCATCATCTCGAGCATCAACGTCAAGATCAATGCAAACATCATCACCAACATCAGCATCAACATCAACATCATCAGCACCATCAGCATCATCAGCATCATCAGCATCATCAGCATCATCAGCATCATCAGCATCATCAGCATCATCAGCAGCATCAGCATCAACATCAACATCGACGACCACATCATTATCACCACCAGCATCCTCATCGACATCATCATCATCATCATCATCAACAACATCAACATCAACATCAACATCATCGTCGTCATCATCATCATCAGGATCAGCTTCGTCGTCAGGATCATCATCACCCTCCCCATCATCAGAATCATCATCATCAGCAGCATCATCATCACCATCATCGTAATTTCGCAGCAATGGGAATGACATGACCACTACGTGTACCCTCTGTCGAACATTATCAGAAAGTGCAGGTGCGAGCCACTCTCAAGACACGACTTTCGAAGTTCTGGAAAATCATTTCACATGCTTAATACTTCGTTGTATCCTCCGGCAATCAGTATACTGTTCTTCTTGCAAGCCGTATCATGTAATCTGTTATGCCAGCATACGCCCAAAACTGCGCAAAGGCGGTCATGCCAGAGCGCCGTGACATGCCGTCAAGGAAGTAGACCATTGTGTAATTACAAGCCCAATGATTTGTTTGCAATTCAGAGGTTGGATAGGGCATGTGTTTGAGTAACTCACTGGGAGTTGATCTTCGGGTGCAGCTGGACGTTCTGATTTCGATTACTGGGTGAGCAACAGGTCGCGGGTTTCCGTCTTTATTTGGGATACGGCTCTTGAATACCGATTCCCTAAACCCTGAACCCTACAGAAAGAGCCACGAGGAAAAGGGCACTAAAGAGAAATGGAAAGACAAGCTTTGGTGCATTGGAGACGAGCAACCCAAGCCAAAGCTGCCCCGGAATGCTCAGACAGATCACTTGTTTCAACTGTCGGGATGCCTGTTCTCGCTTAGTCCATCGGTGGGGTCACCAGAAGGGTTTAGTTCCCGAGACCGCAACCTTTGTCTAAGGCACCGTTGTCATGTTTGAGGCCGACCTCACGTCGCGCTACTAGGCTAGGCTATCGCCCTGAAACGACCCGTGGCTTGCGGATCTGGTGGGCTCAAGGGACATGTCGGGGGAGCGACCAAAACATTAAAACACTCACGCCCCGAGTCGGGATGTTTAGCATCCTTTGCACCTTTTCGGAGGGTCTCGGGCCCCCTAGGGCCAGGGCTAAATCCTCAGCCTCCTCCTCTTACAGCCCAAATTGGCTCGGTACTCTCCTTCCAGCCGATACTCGTAATTTTGTTCAAACTCCCTGTAGCTATGTATAGCTCTTAACCTCAGTAATAGGTGATTAAGGTTTTTGGAGGCGGCTTAGAAGCTTAGAGCTCACGGGACATCTGTATCCTAAGAGGCTTCATGCATGAGCAAGCTATGGGAGGGCCAGCTGTGAGCCACCTCAAGCTCTGGTGCTTGGAGAAGGCCGAAACCTAAACCCAAAGCCTTAACCCTGAAACCCCTAAACCTTAAGGCCCTGAACCTTGAACCCCGATCCCCCCGCACCCTGAACCCTGAATCCCTGAATTACCTGAATGTCTCCCTGAACTTCACCCCCTTTGTCTGCCCCATGAAGTGCTTCGGAGCTGAGACCTGGGTCCACGGGCTCCAGCCCGAAGCCCGACGGCTCTTGGTCACCCGGGTAGTTGTCAAAATTATGGTCCCTAGTTGGGTACCCTAAATATGAGGTGCCGTATTATAACAGGACCCCAAAAGGGACCACGATTTTGACAACCACCCACCCCTAAAGTCTTTGGTTTCAAAGCTTCTCTCCTCTCCTTTGCGTAAGGTCTCGAGGAGTGCCGCCGAAAAGCAGCGGGCATCTCTCGTTAACCTCCCATCACTTCTCCTGCCATCAGTCGTCAACCTGCACTCCTGCTCCACGGCCACCTTCATATTATGAAGGTAACCGGTTTCCGCTCCGAGCTGCGGAACAGCCTTGTGGTAGCAGCAGCAAGAGTAGTGTGGTGTCGTCCGTCTTGTACTATCACGATAGCACAACGACACGAGGGACAACTGTTGCTGTACTTACTAAGTAACTACTGACTACCTAACTAGCTAGCTAACTAGCTAACTAACTAGAAGTAGCTAACTGACCAATGACGGACTGACTCTCTCTACTACGAGCACTACTACGCCAGTACAGCCCTGAGATCTGCTCAGAGTCTTTGATGGAGGCTGCGCTCGAGACCATCGATTCCCAGCCCTCACCGGGTCAGGAGATAGGGAGTTCATTGCTCCCATGGTTTTGGGGTCTGGGGCGTAGGGCTTAGGGTTCAGGGTTTAGGTCTTCGGGGCTTTGGTTTAGGGTTTAGGATTCAAGGGGTTTAGGGCTCTACCGCGCTGCACTTTGGGCTATTTCCAACATCCGCCGTGGTCTTGTAGAAGTACTAACTCCGGGAAGATTGGGGCGCCACTAGCGTTACAACCCAGTAAAGACCTAAGCCCAAAGCCCAAAGGCTTGAACCTCGGAGTTGCAGTGCTCGGTAGCTTCAGGGCTGACAATCTGTAATATGTAGGTATGTTATGTATATATATATATATATATATATATATACACGCAGAAAAGTAGGTATGTATATGTATATATATATATATATATGTATGTATGTATGTATATATATATATATATATATATTTAGTGTTAAGTATCTAGTACCTTCCCAATCGGGGATCAGAGCACTTCGCGCCTGGTTCCTCAGTCCTGCAAAAATCTTAAGCCCTCAAAACCCGGGGCCACCCCAATCCCAAGCCCCAGCACCTAAACCCTAAATTGCAAGAAAGCCCTCACCACCCGCAGCCTTGAACCAAAAGTTCTGAAGCTACCAACCCACCCGCAGAAACCCTTCGAAGGACTCGCCCAGTGCAGCTCTGCGCCCCCAACAGAAGCAGCTTTGCTCGTGTAGAGTCATGGGCTGGTTTCGGTTTTCTGTGGCACTGGGATGGAGAGACAGAGAGATGTATATATATATATATATATACACACATACATACATACATATGGTTCGGGGTTTAATTAATCTAGAGGGGCTATTGCGAGCATGTGCAACAGTGGGTGACCCAGGAGTTCGATTGGCACTGTATCTCGGTTTTGAGTTCGAGACTTTGCTTTAAACCCACCTTCCGCGACTCAAGATGTCAGAGCTACACAATCCGCACCCTCCCCTAAAGCCTTACCTAAACCTCTCACCCTAAGCCCCAAACCCTAACCCTGAACCCTAAATCCCTTACTTCAAGAACTCTGGGTAGCGCTAAACTCTGTGTCCAGTGCTTCCAGGTTGCTTTCCCGAGTGGCAACTGGATGTGCACGCACCTAGAGGTGTCGACGTTTAGGCCGTGGCAGACAGGCCATTGCACCTAAAACAACACCTATAAAGCCTAAAACCCTAGCGACGAAACCCTGGGCCCTTACAAAGGCGAACCTGAACCCTAAACCCTAAAACCTCGAAAGCCCCTTCCGTAAGCCATAAATGAGTCCTAAAGCTCCACGCGTGTGAACCAAAGGCAAGCGAGAGCCGAAGAGGCCGGGACCGTCGACCTGATTTCAGAGATTCAGGGTACTAATTTCTAATATTGCAAGTATTGTCGGTACTAGTATCAGATGTCACTTAGGGTACTACTAAAAATGCAGTCGCTATCTGTACTTGTACTAGATATTAGGGGTCAATGTCCGTATTAGTATTCGTATTGTTGTTGGTGGTAGTAGTGGTGGTATTCGTATTCATAGTCGTGTACGAGCAGTAGAGCGAGTATCAGTACGAGTACTAGCATTAGTGATTAGTGCTGGCATCGGTATCAGCATCAGTATCTTTATCAGTTTTAGTATCAGTATTGGTATTCGGGTTATGATTGGGGTATTACAAAAGGTACAGCAGGGGCTACTAGGCTTTCTTGTTGGGCCGCCATATGTGGACCAGAGGTGCTTCGGCTGCCCATGTCCGGTAGCCAATCTTTTTTTTCGATTTGATGTGCTGTCCGCGGCGGCTTTGCAGACCAGTATTCCGAGACGATACGGGGCATCAAGGACTTGAGGTTGCAACCGTGGAGGAAGCAATGTCGGGTGCAGACATTCAGGATTTTCAGGGCAAGGGATTAGAGTAAACCACTGCGCATCCTTTACCTTCCCGCTCGCCTTCGTCACAGTGTAACCTACGCCTAGAATGTATACGCTCCCAGCACCTTCAGGGCAAAGCTGGAGACATGCAGCTGCAACATCAGACGGAGATGCTGACACAACAGCTTCTGCCTGGGGCCTGGCCATGCTGTTTTTCGGACTAAGTGCTTCGGGCTAGAGTTTGAGGTTTAGGGTTCGGTTTGAGGAACTTGTTTAGGGCTTCGTGCTTAGTTGGCCCTCCTTGTTGAGAAGGTTGGGTACCACGGTGACCCGAAGTTCGCAAGGGGAGTTCCAAAAAATGGACCCTGTTGTAAACCCTGACTCGTGGAATCCTTACTCTGAGGACCCCGGGATAAAGGAGCCCCCATTGTCAAGCGCCCGTACAACAACCCCGAAACATGCCCGGTACAGCCTTCCGCACTCCTCAATAGGCTTCTTGCAACCCTAAACCCTAAACCCTAAACCCTAACAAACCCTTGTGAACGACCCAAAACCGAAAAGGGTTCAGGGCCTAAGGTTGTCAGTTTCGGTTTTGGGGTTTAGGCTTTAGGCTACGGATTGTGTAAAACGGGTTTAGGGTTCAAGGTCGGGCGAATTGGGATTCTTTGCGTCAGTTATTTCGTGTTAAGGCTGTCGAGTGCTGGTCGTAGGGACTCAGTGCGTCGGGTTTCGGCAAAGTTTCGGAGACAGGTATTCAAATTTTCAGGTTGCGCGCACCAGGGCCGCTTCCTCGGCATTAGAACGCAACAGCCTGCACATTGAAATCCATTTCAGGCCACGAATCCCTACCTGTGAAGTCTGCCCAGTAAAAGACCATACCCGGACCCTGAACTGGTGTTGGAGTGCTCGGCTGCGTAGAGTGCGGATCAGATTCCTGCGTTTTGCAATCCCTGCCCCGCGACCACGGACCTGACGAGATGCCGCCAGGAAGAGGAATGGTTTCAATACTTCTTGCAGACTTTTGTACTTGTTGCTCCTCACAGATGAAGGTTCCCCACTTGGACCGATATCGTGTTAAAACCACCATCAAGCACCTTGTCCACTGCGAGGAAGCTGAAGCAGCGCCAAGAGGACACAGAGGAGGTGGGCAGCAGAGAGTCCGAAGCCAAAGCCCAGCGTCGAGGCATTGAGTTTAGGCTACCCCTTGTCGGATGGAGAGTGCGCTCCCGAAAGGGATCGTGCGGCAGGAATCAAGGGCCATTATCCAGCATCGAAGCTTACTGGTAGGATCCTTGCTATGATCCCGGCAAGTAATCCGGACGGACCGTTTAAAACATTCAACGCGGGCGCTCGGATGAAGTGTTCGGAGGGGTGACTTGCCTCATCTTGGGGTTGCAATGGCCAGCAGCGCAGTGCTTCGGGCCGGGAACGACTCTTGGACTGTTACCACTAATAGAGGCCGAAACAATGACCAATAGTACTTTGGGGGTTCCTTACCATGATTATACGTATAATGGGCCCCCCAAATCCTGTTCTAATTATTACGGCCCCTATATTACTCTTAAACGCTACTATCGGTTTGGGCCTGATGCATTTGGCCGCAGGATGTGGGCCAGAGCCAAGAAACCCCAAAACCCTGATGCAACCTCGGACAACTCAGGACAAATTTAGGGTCCCTTAAACTCTCCTGACAAAGCCCAAGACCGAAACCTTAAACCCCAAACCCCTGAATTCTAAACCCCTAAAACCTAAACCCCTAAACCTACCAGGCATATATAGACCACACCGCCCCAAAAACCCTAAATCCCTAAACCCCGAGACCCTGAACTCCCTAAACCCTAAACCCTAAACCCTAAACCCTGAACTCCAAACCCTAAACCCTAAACCCTGAACTCCAAACCCTAAACCCCGCAGGCAGCGCACGAGCGCGCCCCGCTTCTCTCCCCTCCAGCTGGAACCCCACAGGCTGGTTTGGGGATTTACTTTAAACTGCCATAACCTACTTTATAATAGGTTCTTATTATAAGCCTTAATATGGAAATTATAGGGGCCCTACAAAATAGTAGGTTTGGGTAGTTCAAGGTAGGGCCTTTAGGGCTTTTAGGGTTTTGAGCGTTTTGGGCATTAGGGTTTAGGGGATTTAGCGCCATTTAGGGTTTGGGGTTTTAGGGTTTAGGGTTAAGGGTTTTCAGGGTTTCTGATTCTGGGGCTTCAGGGGGGGTTTCAATGTTTGGAGTTTTCGGCCAAGGCGAAGTCTAGGGCCTAGGGCTCGAGGTTAAGGGTTTAAGCATATAATTGCAAATTATTCCGACCCCTTAGTTGTCACAAGCCTGTACTGCAAACCCATTTCCCGAAACCCACAAGCTCTGAAACCCTAAAACCCCAAAACCCGAAAACCCTAAACCCGCAACCCCAGACCCCAAACCCTCAACCCTAAACCCTAAATCAGAACCGTTGACCCAGACTCTACTGGCAGGCATCGCCGAAGGGTGGTCGGCGCCTCTCGCGGGAGCGCGGCGTTTGCCTCTTCGGGGGGTTGTCTGAGGTTCAATTTTACGCTATAGGGATGTTTAGGGTTTTGGGTTTTGGTTTGTGGTTTTAGGGTTTAGGGATGTTTAGGGTTTTGGGTTTTGGGTTTTATTTTCGGGTTTTGGCCTAGGAATGGGTCTAGTAATCTTGGGGCTGTGTTTCATGGTTTACACTTGAAGGTTCATGGGACTTAGTAACTATGGTTATAAAATAAGGTACCTATGCTTATAATGGGATATAACCCCAGTAAGGGTACTTATAACCATAATAATAATAACAATAATAATAATAATAATAATAACCATAGTTACTAAGTGCCATGAACCCCCAAGCAGGTCAGGCTTAGGGGCTCTCGGGCTCCAGAAGTTCATGTTTCATGGGTCCGGGCGCGCAATCGGGCTCAATCCTAAACCCACCCTACTCTCCTGTAAGACCATGGAGTCTAAGCCTTATAAGTCCGAAACTTGAAGCCGAAGCCCAAAGCTCGTAAGCCTAAACCTTGGTGCCTGACGGAGTGCATGCTGCATCTCGCATTTGCCTTACCCAGCCAGCTGCAGAATAGCCTATGGCTTTGGAGTTGTGACTCCGGTCTGGGCATTGCAACCACGGATTTCTTGAGACCCCGCTGCTACTGCTGCTGCAACAACAACAACTACTGCTGTCGGTGCTGCTGCTGGTACTACTACAACTATCACCACTACTACCACGACCACGACGACGACTGCCACTACCACTACCACTCTACCACTACCACTGCCACTACCACTGCTACTTACTGATACCAGGACGTTTTGATCAACTTCTGCTGCTGCGTTCCTTGCGTGACAGAGTGTGGGTAGCCTCGTGCCCGAGGCTGCCCCGGAACCGAAGAGCCACAGGACTCTGAACACCTAGCCCTTCACCTGTAAGAAGATGCGTGCCCTACAACTTGGGGGCCTCAGCACGGTGGTATCAAGGATCCCCTATGTAAAGTGCGCATACAGTAGTTGGGGATCACCCCACCTACCTTCATCCCAGCCTTGGAGCCCTTCGCCAAGCCCGGAGCTCCCATCTCGAGGACAGCAGCGTGAGTCGAAGCCCGCGATCAGGACAGGGTATGGGCCGATTGGGATCGCGGAAACCCGAAATAAAAGACCATGACCCCTAACCCCTGAAGCCCTAAAGCCCAAACCCTTAGTACTGAACAGTAAAAGGCTGAAGCCCAAACCCTGAACCCTGGCCTCAACCCTAAACCTTGAACCACTAAAGCTTACTAAAGCCTATCAACCCTAAACGAAGGCCAAAGCCTAAACGCCAAACCCTCAAGTTTTGGCCCCAGCCGACGACAATGTACACGAATCGCTAGCATTTGCCGGCCTTGGGGCTCGAAGGTCCAGCTTTTACTTTGCGGGCTTGGTAGGTTCTAGGTAATTACCTGGGTTTGCAATAAAAAGGGGTCGGAATCACTCGCAATAGCACCCCGGAATCCCCTTATCGTCTCCATGTAGAAAAGAGGCCCCCCTTACCCTTATTCCAGTGTATGAAGTCCATTTGAAGAAGTTTCTGGGGTTTCAAAGCTTTGTCGACAAAGGCTTCGGTGGCTTCGGGAGTTTGTGGCAGGGGTTCCACTGAAAGTTCACTTTTGAGATGAACGTTTCTGCATCTAGCGGCAGCTTGTAAGCTTAAGAGAGCTGAAACGGTTTTCACGGCTTGTACAGGTTTAGGGATTTGCCGTTTTCTTCTGGCATTGCGAGGTCTGTGAAAAGCTTCGCAACGACTCGAGTTAATGGAAGCCGGTATCCGAAGGCGCAAGCCTTGCTTGCATTTCTCCGTATCGCCTGTAAGGCCACTTCGATCCAATCTCCTGGGATTGTGGCCGCAGAAGGATGTCGGTTCGTGGAGAGCAGAGCCATCAAGCCCGAGGTTCTGCGTGACCGTTGCTTCTCGCCGTACCGGCAAAACTCGTCGGATCTTTGCAAGACCTGTGCGTCTACATGCGGTCGAGCCGGAACGGTCTCTTTCACGACAGGCCACGAAAAACGAAGACAAACCTTCCTCACAACAGTTGCAAGGTTGCAGTTAAAATGATACATGATACACGCAAGGGTTTGTTGCTGGCAGTATGAATCGAACCTGATCGTGCTGTCCCCGCAGCAGCGACCACACCACCACTTCGTAGAGCAGAGGAAGTGGGTTCCTGTAGAATGTGTAGAGAGCCCGAGCCCTACCCTCCAATCACCCACAGCCTGATAATAGCTTAAAACCAAAGCCTCAAGCGCCCCTAAAGCTTTGCTGAAACCCTTTCCCTTGCGTCTTGGTGGTTTCCCAGAGTCTCCAATATCCCTGAACTAGGGAGTATAGGTTAAATCATATCATAGCAGGGATCCTACAAAATGTCAAGGTGTATTCCTGAATTGAGGGATATTGGAGTCACTGAGTTCCCTCCTGTAGGCATCGCCGGTAGCACTCGCGGCGGCTTCGGTGTCCCTGCGCCGCCGGCAAACTCGCCAGTGGCAGGGCCAAAGTCTGTGAAGGAATCCGGCTGGTGTGGGTTTAGGGTTTAGGGTCTAGGTTTGAGGGTTTAGGGTTGATCCAGTTAGACTGGGGGTGCAAACGCGGGTTTATGTGGTTTTCCAGGCCAGCTAGAGTCGTTTCCAAATCCGCGGAAAGAAAGATACTGCTTGTGTCCTCAAGCTGGTGATGGTGACTCTGGTAGCCTGATGATTACCGGTTTCCGCTGTCTTGGTACTTGGAAAATGTCTGTGTAGACGTGAAATCCGGAGCATGGTTTCTGGAGGTTCAGGGTTCAAGATTCACAGATGCTATCTAGTTTCTGAGATATCCGTGCTTGCCTCGACAGACTTAGCACCGCGAGACACCTGAAGCCCCGCGCCCTTCATCAACAGAGGACCAGTTTCCAACTCAAGAGATCCAGGAACCCCTGCCCCAAGCAATCTCTTGTACGCCGAAGGAGTCCTCCCCTCAACCAGCTGCACGCTTTGTGCCGACTGCCACGGATCCGCTACAGCTACCGGGACCGAATATGCAGCAAAAGCTCCGGGCAGTCAGCCTTACACAGAGCGACCAAACCGGCATGCTAAGGTATGTAAGCCTTATTGTGAAGGACCCCTTTCTCGAAGACGGCATCTATTTCATGATTTTGCTTGTTTCTGCATTGTGGTGTCTGCGGACAATCTAGAATCTATTCTGCGGGAATTGTTGCATCGGGAGCACTAGAGTTGTGAGCGAATCGCAATTTGAGGGCTCCGGCCGTTCGCACACTGAAAATCTATGTCGACTAGCCTGATACACCCCTGTAAACTTGGCGTTCTTCTGGTTGGCTCTTTAGAGTTTAACTTTTTGGGTTTCTATATGAACTATAATCAGGAGGCTAAAAGTTTAACTTTTAGGAGGGGTTCAGAAGTCCGCCAAGTAAACTTTCCCGACAGAACCGTGAGTGCTCCTCCCGGAGCCAAGTCTCGAAACCCCTGACACCAGATTTACAGTCTCCACTCTCAGCACCCCAAGCCCAACACCAGAAACCCCAAAATCCAACAAGACTGATCCCTGAAGCATAGACTTGCCAGTCCTTGGTCCAAAACCAGCAAAGCCCTGATTCTTCGTTTCTTCGTTTACCCTCTGTCTTGAAAAGGGATGCTTCCGTGTTAGCGAAGCTACTCTTCCCACGCAGTTCTGTTATCTGGGTTGTGTCTCAGGTCTGCGTGTCTTGGGGTTAAGACCATCGGGAGCGGAGGTTTGGGGGCCGGTCGTGTGTATGTAATATAGAGGTGAAGCATGTTCGGCAGGATTGCTCGTTATCCGAATTGCACAGTTTCATTCGATAGCCATCCTCCAACCTGTTGGCTTTGGTTGCATCTTTACGTTTATGGCCGTGTGCTTGTGTATGTGTATGTAACGTATGTCATACACCCTTGATCATATGTGTACCGCATGAGATCTGCTCCTTGGGAGGCGGACCTACGGAGGTGGAGTGTCGGGAGACAAAGGGTTGGCGTGTGCGCTGGATATGGCCACTTGCCGGATCCTGCTTGTGCGGGCTCGCGGGTCATATTATAGTATACTATCGTTTCTGATCGCAGTTTACCGTATTGAGATGACATGATACGGTATGATAAAACGGTTATTCATCTTGGATCTCTGAGAGTGTAGGGTTTCGATAGCAAGCAGTATGGAACTGGAGTTGGTGCTATTCGGGCTTCCAGCTCGGGGTTGGGATTCTGAGTCTGATGATGTTAGTATGTTGATGTTGAGAGCGACGGTGACCATGAGGCTATAAGGATGATGACGACCATGATTGTGAACATCAACATCAGCACCGTCCCTATCATCACCATCATCACGAACGATCATCCTGATCATCACCGCCATCATGACCATCATCATCATCACCATCATGTTTTGGTGGTGCTGTTGCTGCTAGCGCCGTGGATGTTGGTGTTGACGATGATAATGCTGATGAAGAGCTACTATGATGACTGAGGTTATGGTGGTCCTGATGGTGATGCTGACGACGATGACTGCGATATTTCTGGTCCTGACGGCAAGGAGTGTGACACTGCTGGGGGCGGAGACCCGGTGGTTGTCGCTTCTTCTTCGTCTTCGGATGCTGGTGATATTCATCGTCATAGTGGTGGTGGTGCTGCTGTTGATGTTGCTCCTGGTGCCGTTGATTATGAGATTTCTGTGCACCTACGACTGGGATATTTTTAAGGAGTGAATACTGCTCGTAATGCCGACGCAAAGATGATGACTGTCATAAAGGTGCGACGATGCTGCTACTCCTGAGATTGTTGTTTCTGGCGACGATGTCGTTTTTTCACAACACTTAACGATGATGATGATGTCGATGGTGATGTTCATGGATGAGGATCCTGCTACTGCTGCTATGCTGGGGGAACCTCAAGAAGTGCCAGTGAACCAAAAAACCCTCAAAAGCACCAGATCCTAAAACGTCCTAAGACCCAAGCAAAATGACCCGCATCTTCAAGCACCCTGAATGACATGAAGAAGCCGTATATCCGAAGCACGAAGCTGAAACCCCCAAAACAGTTGAAATCACCCTGAGGTTCCGAGTCGACAGCTGTTGGGTCTCGGAGACTCTGATTCGATCCCGCCGTACGCTGGGGCCTCGGTCAGAGCCAGAGGGAGAAAGTTTAGGGGTTTAGGGTTTAATATAGGGGCCTTAATTGGAATAGGGTTCTGGGGCCCATTATACTGTAATCATAATAAGGAACCACCAAGATAGTATTGGTAATTATTTAGGCTCCTATATTAAGTGAGCGTCTATCTGGCGATCCCAAGCTCCAGTCATGTTTCTGTCCCCGTGATCTTCAGGTCAATCTGATTGCAGCATCCTTCATTCATGGTGCCCTAAACCCGAAACCCTAAACCCCAAACCCCAAACCAAAAAACCCAAACCCCCAAAAGCTTGAACCTTAAACCCTTAAAACCTAAACCCGAAACCCTCAAACCTAAACCCTAAAATCCTAAACCCTTATGATTGCATCGCTACACCCAGGTACCTTCGCCTCCCAAGCCGGAGCTCAGAAGTGACCCGCTGGTGCCGCAGAGCACCGAGGAGATCGCAGGAGCAGGAGCTTCCATGGGGGATGAGGGCTAGGGTTCAGGGTTGAGGGGTTTAGGGGTGTGGTGGTTTAGGGTCTAGGGTCTAGGGACAGGGTTTAGGGTTGAGGGATTTCGGAGGGTTCAGGGATTCCCTAAACCCTATACCCTAAACCCTAAATCGCTGAGTTCTAGGTTGTTCAGCTTCGTGGGCTGTGGATTCCCTTCCGAGCTTTAGGGAATTCCGATTTGGGGATGCAGGGGGTTGGGGGTGGCGGGAGGAATGTAGGCCCGGAGGCTTTTTGAGTTGCGGAGTTTTTCAGGTTGTAGGAGTTGGGGGCCTTATCCCAAGCCCTAAGCGCGGCTAACCCCACGGGAGGCGCTGGGGGGATGAAGTCGGCACTTTATCTCATCGGATCCATCGAGTGCATCTTCAGCAAAGCACCACTGAAAACCTTAAACCGGTAAACGAGACTCCGCCTAAGCCCGGAGCATTCCACTCTGAGTCTCCCTTGCAAGACGCTTAGATAAGGAAGCCGAAGTAGTGAGTCTGATTCCCCTAGAGTACATCTAGCCGTACCACACAACATACTTGCCTTTCAATATCTCTGAAGGCCCTTATAAAGCTTTGCTATATTAACAGTATAACCCTTGAAAACAACCTCTTTACAGTAAAGGCATCAGCCTTACAGGTATCATATCCAGAAGTCCGTAGACCTCAGCAAGCGCCGAAGCCAGCGGCTCGAGACTGACCCGAGGATCTAAAGCCAAAGCCCTCACGAAAAAGCAAGAAGAGCTGAATTCCAGAGCACGTAGTTCGGGGTGGAGGCCACCACTACTACTACTACTACTACTACTACTACTACTACTACTACTACTACTACTACTTCTACTACTACTACTACTACTACTACTACTACGACTACTGTGTAAGGTTTCAGGCCCAGTCTTTTGGGCCTCAAGGTTTCAAGCTCATCTCAGTAACACCTCCGCCCCAGGGGCACCTTTGTCGCACATCCTGGGAAGTTTATCCCATGCTGCTGACGAGGAATGCAGCGCTCCTAGAAGGATTGACGCGTCCAGGGTTTAGGGCCCAGATTCGCGCACCAAACAAGCACATAAGCAAAAAATAGGATAGGGATATCCCACATAAACCCCCTTGTACTGCAGCCCAATAATTTAGGGATGTCCCTATAAAAAGCTTATGCTTATGTGCCTTTTTGGGTCCCTACAGATGGCTTGAGTACCTCAGGGGCCTGGCATCCACTTGTTTGAGGCCGAAGCTCTGAATCCAAATCCCAACGCTGGACATAGCTGCCCCGTGCTCCTTGTACAGCAAAAGCCTACCGTCTAAGTCGTCAGGTCGTCGTGTCACCCGTACTGCACGCAGACTCTAGACACGGAAAACCCAAACCTTAATCTCTACTCCCTGAAGACCAAATCCGCTGAACCTCCCAACCCCTCCCTAAATGCCCCCTAAGACCCTACACTCCAAACATTCCTCAACCTGTAGCTGCTGAACCCACCGAAAGCCCTAAAGCTTTGAGGTTGGAAACTGCTTCACGACCAGCTTGCGACCATGCATGAGGGTGTGCAGGCGCCAGGGCTTCAGAGCTTTTGAGGACCTTGAGCCATCTTGGAACTGTCGCCACCAGAATCTGCGCTTAAAACCGTAGTCTAAGTACTACTTGCTGTAAGGCCCCTATACCCTAAACCCCTTTTGTTCCCTTATAGAACCCTTTTATAGCAAGGCCCCTCTGCGTTATGTACTTTGGCTGTTTGGCACTCTCTGGGCTAGCTATTAGGAATAGTGGGAAAAAGTGTACTTATAGTATTTGCAGTAGTAGTAGTAGTAGTAGTAGTAGTAGTAGTAGTAGTAGTAGTAGTAGTAGCAGGAGTAGTAGTAGTAGTAGTAGTAGTAGTAGTAGTAGTAGTAGTAGCAGTAGTAGTAGCAGGAGTAGTAGTAGTAGTAGTAGTAGTAGTAGTAGTAGTAGTAGTAGTAGTAGTAGTAGTAGTAGTAGTAGTAGTAGTAGTAGTGGTAGTAGTGGTAGTAGTGGTAGTAGTGGTAGTAGTAGTCGTCGTCGTCGTGCATCTCCACAGAGTCGCAGAAGTCAGTAATTTACCAACAGCCCCTGCTCTTCCTGAAGCTCCAAAGCCCTTGCTTTTTAAAATTGGGTTTAGGGAAGTTTAGGGTTTAAGGGTTCAGGCTTCAGGGTCCATCCAAGAGCATCCGTCAGACTGCATCCGTCAGACTGCGCTGCAGGAGTTTGCAAAGCGCAGCTGCCCCACGAGGCCAATGCGGAATGGATCCGGGCCCCCCGGATTGGTCCAGGACGGGTGGAGCTAGGCTTGCTTCAATTAGGCTACTGTTTGGGGCTTCATTATAACCCTCAACCCCAAACCACCTTATGATTCATAGTAGATGGTTCATGGTGTAGTTTGCTGGGATTCAGGTAGAAGCGTAGAGGCAGAGCTGACAGGTAGACGGACAGGGACGGGAATGCGGCTGTACCCTGCCTTAAACAACTGCGAAACCTTGAGCCCAAAGCAGCTATTGAGGATGTCTGAAACGACTCGAGTCAGCGACAGGATCGGCGATTCAAGCTGAGTCTGCCAGCGCAAGCAGGTGCAACATCGCTGTAGGGTCTGGGATTCCAGGATAGGGTGTGGCTGGAGATTAGGGGAATTCAAGCCCAGAAGGCCTAGGATCATGCATGTGGTTTGTGTCTTGCCACAAAGGCCTGCGCTCACAAGTTCAAAGTCATTGAACCCAGAAGCCCGGCCGAGTGCGCCCTCCTTTCACGCAGTACATCTAGGAAGCTTGGGCAGTTCAGTTAGGTTCTATGGCCTAAGGATGGATGATAGTAGTCGTATTTGTTATAACTGTATTTCATAACAGCAATCAGTCTCAGTAAGCACAAAAGTACTGATCGTAGCAGTAAGAGTAGTACTAATTCAGAGACCTTAGAGAGCCCAGCTCGCAGTGAGAAAGCGAAAAACACCGCTAGCTTGCAGTCCTAGACACGAAATCCCTGAATCGAAAAACACATGGATTGGAAGGTTTGGGCGACAAAGTCTAGGTTCACCGATGAGGGCCGATGCTATCTTGATGCTAGGTCCCTTTTAGCCTGAAGTACTCCCTCAAAGCTTCAAGTTCCCGAAACCCGCGAGTGCTTTGTTCGCCTCCGGCGGACCTGACCACCAAAAACCACCCGAAACGGAGATGCTCCTTTGAAAGGAAACAGGCCAGCTGGGCAGGCTGGATCGTTCGAGCGACTTGTGCGGCAAAGAACTGGATGATGTAAACAGAAGAAGACTACATATCTGCAGTATCAGTATATGATAGTCGCAATATGTGGTGATGAATCTCAAGGCAACATCAAGCATGTGTATCCAAACCAGTTGGCCTTGCAGGTCGGCAGACTTGAAGTCGTCGTAAATTTTGGTTCTAGCTGCCATGTAATAGCGAGCGCGCTCTGTGTCAAGAGGTAAGCACGTGTGCAAAGTGCGTTGGTTCTTTAGTCCAGGAAGTAATCCCTCATTGGGTGCCTGAATGTCTTCCTTTAAGATTTTGCGATGCCCTTGCGGAAACTACTCCCAGCCAATGCAGGGGTGTGGGGACACTTCTTGCTTCACTACACACTCTATCCTTGCCCTGCAAAGACGGGAGTGCAGGTTTAAGCCAGCTTAAGCAATACATGCACCCTGTTGGCGGGAGGGCAGAGCATGAGCGTTCTCTTTGCATTCCGTTCGCATCAAGCGTGAAGCATCGTGTAGGGCCCAGTCCTCGAACAACATCGTTGCTTCAGCTGTGCAGCCCACGATTGCTCCCAGAGCCAGCCAATGCCCCTTAGTTTCAACCACAAACAATCTCATGAAATCCAAGCCGAAACGCTCTAAAGCCTTCAACCCGCAAGCTTCGAGCTAGCTGCCGCAATCTGTATACATATACATATAATAAGGCATAGTTATGCATACGTTACACATATAATGACACACACACATATATATATATATGCATACACACACACACACATATATATATATACACACACGCATACACACATATATGTATATCTATCTATCTATATATATATATATATATATCTATTTATATATATATATATATATATATATATGTACATACACATAGATCTTTGCATATATATGTATATGTAAGTGTATATACATAGGTGTATATACATTTATATGTGTGTTTGTGTACATTTACATATGTACATATGCATACATATATACATATATTCATATACATACATATATATATATATATATATATAGCAAATACATATAGATGACCTGCAGGAATAAATGCCTCAGTGCTTGACGCCAGTCGAAGTTCTAGCTCTTCGTCTCTTGCCGAGGCCACCGCGGCTTCTTCGAGTGCCCACGCTTCCGGTGCAGTCCACGCAAAGGCGACCACAGACTTGAGGATTCAGGTGTCAGCTGGGTTTCATGTAAGGAAGCCCTGAAACCTTGGCGGTATAAGGCACCTATCTATATTGCGGCAGGAAGGTTTAGGATTCGTGACAGTTTGTTGCAGCAAATGTGGGTGGCGTTTCAAGAGCTTAGGGCTTAAGGGGTTTGGGTTTCAGTGTAAGGCTTCAGGGTTTAGGCCCCATAGGATTTTTTGGCTTCGGGTTTGGGGTTTCTGGGCGACTCCCCAGGCCCAAGGCCCCCGAAAAGGGTACTAAGCTATCCCAAACCGCAAGCCAAATCGTGAAGAAGCAGCTAACTCCCAGAGAGAACAGGAAAGCAGCCTAAATCCCGAAACTCATAAAGCCCTATTACTAACCCCACATCAGTTTTCTCCGAGAAGTTGGTTTGAGACCCAAATTTTGGTGGGGTTGGACCGGGGATGCTGCAGCCGAGCACGCCTGGCCTTTAGGGCTCCGGGGTTGTGTGATAATATCATCCGCAAACACCTATTCTACTTGTTGAGGCCCCCTATTGCTTCAGCCTCTCTGGCAGCAGGTGTCCATCCAGAACGTCGTTGCAAAGGCAGACGTCGTGGCACTCTCCGCCGTGCGCTCAATCGGATATCTCAGGTTCTCAAGTTCGCGATGCATAATATCAGGGCTTTGATAATGAGAGGTACATGATAAATAGGATATTTTAATGAGCCCCAACGAATCGTGATTTTTCAGGCTTCTCGATTACCGCTGCATCCCGACCCGAAGCCACACGTCGACAACAAGATGAGGCCAACCCCCAGCCCGTGCCTAGTTGAGTTATGGGCGGGCAGTGAAACCTTACCTGTGCATGTGCCCTGCACTTTTTTGACACAATACTATAGGGGCTTAAATAATTACCAATGCCATTTTGGGGGTTCCTTACTATAACTTTTGTGTCGTAATAGGCCCCAAAACCCTATTCTGATTATTAAGGACCCTATACTGAAATCCTTAAAATAGCCCTTATAGTAGCCTTATAAACCCCTTTCAAGGAATCCTATTCTAGTTCTTAAGGCCCCTATACTTAAATCCTTATAATAGCCCTTGTAGTAGCCTTATAGACCCCTTTAAGGAATCCTATTCTAGTTATGAAGGCCCTTTTGGTGTCTTCTTCTGCTCTGAAGGCGCCAAATAACACCCGAAGCGGCCCCCCCAGGAGGACACCGATCACGCCGCATTTCCCTGTAGAGCCCACGCTGGCGCCGGCGCCGGCGACGCAGCCAGGGCTCCAGCGCCAGGCACCGGCACTTCATGCTGAACGGGTTTAGGGTTGTAGGATTGAGGGATGTTGAGGGTTTAGGTGAATTTTGGTGTGTCTTGAACTTTGGCGAGTGCTTCTTCGGGAACGTTTGTCCAGAGCCACGTCAACGTCACTCGCGGCGTTTACTTGCGCCTGATCTGTGGCATGCATGTGAAGAGGTTGTTGCCCGGATCATGAAGAAGTGGCTTCTGTCACTTTATCTGCCAGCGACTTCGCGACTGGCTGCATGTAATCACAACTCAGAGTCGGGCCTGTGATGCCCGAACCCAAGGTGCTCCTCCAAACCGTCGGCTCGTACAACCTCTCAATCTGGGTCCGTCTGCTGTTTAGAAGCCGTCAACGCCAAGCCCCAACAATTTTTTTGTGAGGCCCATCCCTCTGAAAAGCATCCCGATACCAAAGCCCCCCAAAATTGTCTAGGCCCTACTCAAGCAACCTTGTGCAATGCTGGTTGAAAGCTGCCGCGCCGATGTTTCTCTCGGAGGCACCGGAGCAGGAGCTGCAGTGGCAGCACTCTGACGAGGCTTTTCGGTGGGGGCTCAAGGGCCTGATAGGGTCGTGTTGTGACAGGCTCGTGTAAGTTTTCACAAGGGCTGTGAAGCTTTTTTTGAGCAGCGTTGGGGGGTTCAGGGTGTTCCGACATCATCAGCGCGAGCAACCAAACTGCTGAAGTCTGGGCTGCACGGCTTCTTGTTTGCTACTGGCCTTGCCCAGTGCCGATTCTGCGCGTTCATTCCGCTGCATTCCCAGAATCCCAATATCCAAAGCAGCGAACTTCCATGCCTGTCATGCCACTCGAACTCGCAGAAGCATCTAGCAGACACTGGTCGAGGATTCGAAAGTGACGCTGGTGATGAAGCCAGAGCCCGTGACCTGGCTACCCTTGAGAATGGTTTTCCGAGTTTTTGGCTGCTAGTGGACGCCCTGAATCCTGACACCCTGGTCCTGGAGCAGCCCGATTTCCAACAAGGTTACGGTCACGGAGAAGATCATCCCGGATGAGCCGGAAGAGACGACTCAGGAGTGTGCTACTGATACTAGTGCACCTGACAGCAGCAGCGGGAGTCGTAGTCGTGGTCGTACTCGTAGTCGTATTCGTCGTCGTAGTCGTCGTCGTCGTAATAGTAGTAGTAGTAGTAGTAGTAGTAGTAGTAGTAGTAGTAGTAGTAGTAGTAGTAGTAGCAGTAGTTGTTGTAGTTGTAATTGTTGTTGGAGATGGCAGCGGCGGCTGTGGTAGTAGCAATTGACGATGACGGTGAGAATTGTGGTAGCTGTTGTTGGTGGTATTGGTCGTGACGATGCTAGTGACTTTTGTTTTTGGTATGTTGTTGCACGACTGCAAGCAGCAGCTGTGCCGTTGTTCTGGTGGTTACCGCTGCTGCTTCTGATGTCTACTGATGTCGTAGCGGTGAGCTTCTATTGGCGTCGGGATCAGTCGTTTTAGCGTTCGGTGTTGTTAGTTGGCTTTTGAACAGTTCGGGCAAGCGAAATCTCAAGAAAAGATGGTGAGGTCTTGGATTTGGAGGCTGCTACTCAAAATACACTTCTGAGCCTTTCCCACAAGGCCCTCGCAGCTTTGGCCCAGAGCTGAGACTAAGCAGTAAGCAGTGGTTACCCCGGCCGCAGACAGGAGCCGGAGCTTTCACGAACACTGGCGAACTTTGTGCCAGGGCCCGTGACGCAGCTTTGCCGCAGTTGATGGTGTCTCAACCCTCTGACTCTTTGTATGCCTCCTTCGTGATTTGCGCCTCTCTCTGTGCTACACGTCTCTCTCTCTCTCTCTCTGTCTCTCTCTCTCTCTCTCTCTCTCTTTTTCTTTACCTCCTCTGGCGCACTGGCTCTTGTCTTGATACATACGTAAAGAAAGCATTCTGTCGGTACAGTTTCCAACATGCCAGTTGTCATCGTTCGTTGAATCATACAGCAGCCATGCCAGCCATGCACGGTGCAAGTGTTGGATAAGCGGTTGACCGCATCCGGACCTTGGCGCTGTCTTTTGTTTGGTACCGGCTTCTGTTTGGAAAAAGCAAAAGCAGATACAGATGTACAATGATGCATATGTATCATGTGTACATACACAATCATACACATGTTGTACAATCACTCACAAAGAGGGACATATGCTCCTGTACATATGGGTGTATGCATGCATGAATGGATGTATGTAGGTATGTATGTATGCATGTGCTGGAGCAACAGAACCAGTCGGTTTCTGTTTATTCTGCGTTCGGTTTGTAACGTGGGAGTGGCTGCGCGATGTGTGAAGCCAACGGTGTGTCAGAGCCCTTGTTGAGCATTGACTTATGCTCTGAAGCCCGACTTAGAATCGACCGAGCCGCAAAGTGTATTCGGATCCGATCAACCTCTGTCCCGCGAGCTCGGCATTGCCGGGTGTTCCCGCATCCTTTTTGGTTACTTGTGAGCTTGGCTGGCAAGTGACCAAGTAGAGTTCAAGCAACAACCCACTCAAGAGAAGGACTGTGCCTTGTGCAGAAAGTGTTTGAAACTCTGCCAAAGACTAAAACTACATATATATATATATATATATATTATGTATATGTATCTATCTGATATATCACTGTAGGACGCATGGGGCATGCGGATGAGATTGCAGAGAGCCTTCTTGCGTTTTCAACACCATAGAGGGCCCAGGCGTCGAGCTTGACTGTACCTCCGAGAGCACAGGTCGATTGGGGTTTAGAGTTCAGGGCTTAAATAAACCCTAAACCCTAAACCCCTGAGCCCTATAGGGTTTGATTGATAGCCCCGAGGGTTTCGGGTTTGAGTTCAGGCTTAACTCTTGAATCCTACCCTGAACCCCGACTTCAAATCCGAGCCGGACGCGAGCCGTCATCAGGCCCTCGCCTCCTGCAGTGCAGAGCCACGGTTTAGGGTTTAGGGTTTAGGGGCCAAGGTCTGCAGAGTTTGGAGTTTCAGATTTGGGGTTTGGGGTGTTGAGGTTTAGAGAGGTGGAGAACCCGGGTGGTGAGCAAAATCTTGTTTTTTGGGGACTATAAGGCTCCTGTGAAGTATAACGGCCCAGGGTCGAAACTTGCAATCTGTATCGCTTCTTGAACGCCAAAAACGCGAAAACCCGAAAGCGCCGCCAGAAATTCTTAACCCCAGAGCTTAAACACTGAATCCCAAACCCAAAACCCTGAACCTAAACCCTAAACCCTGGACCCTCAACCCCAAACCCTGAACCGTAAATTCACTCAATCCTGAACCCTGATCCCCCCGAAGACTTACCCATGTCGTGGGCTTGAGCAGCTGGGGCCCGAAAACCTGGCTCCTCCTCCCCCGTCGCCCCTGAGGAGCTGTGTAGAACCCCTGAAAAGCCTCAACTCTACTTCGCAGGGCCCCTTCAGTCGACGAACCCCAGCAACCCAGGCCCGGACCTCGTCCGCCTCTGCCGCCGGACCCTGCGCCGGCACTAGCCTCAGTCCGATTCTTTGGGTGAGTTCTGGGCTTGGGTGTTTCAGGGCCGTAGGGTTTTTGGTATGTTTTCGCATGTTGAGGTGCGATGCATGATGGTGGTGCAAAAATTCATCCATCGTTTTACGCCGTCATGCAGCACCTCGGTGAGTCACCTCGGTGCAGGCATTACAGTATTTACAGTTTGGTGGCCGCGGGTGGAAGCTTTAGGGCTCATGCACGATCCTTGCAGTCTTTACAGTTGCTGCCCGGCTTGTCTCGGCATGCATGGTCCAGACTGAGCAAATGTCTAGCTTAAATGCGCAAGATCAGGAAGCCCAGCAATCTGAAACAAACGAGCGTCTTAGCAGCCTCGAAACCACAAACAAAACTTTTCTGCTCTTTCCTGTAAAAAAGCCTGGACCATTCGGGTGGTGGCGCCACTACGACCGGTTAGCCTTAAACCTTACACAATACTTGCGGGCTCATGGGACTTAGTAAGTACAGTTATAAGTACCCTAACAGCGGTTATATCCAAATGTAAGTATAGTTCCCTTTTGCATAACCATAGTTACTAAGTCCCATGAACCTTTAAGTAACCCGGCAGGCCCTGAGCCCCGAATCACAGCTCTTGGCCTGCAGGTGCCAGTCCCTCGAAAGGTGGAGCGCTTCATTCCCGTGCAGGCAGCATGGGTTTTATATCTGGGATGCCCGAAAATGAGTGCTGCGCCCTCTACGGTCTACAATCCATACACTGTCTTGTTTCTGGTGGGAGATGTGTCAAAGCCATAGTCGGGCGCATCTGTGTGTGTGTGCGCACGCCTCTATCTATCTATCTGTCTGTTTATCTATCTGTCTGTATATCTGTATGTCTGTGTATGTATATATACATATATGTATCTCTATCTTTTTTGTTGTCTCTCTCTCTCTCTCTATGCACAAGTTTCTGTCAGCCCCGAGGATTGTCACAGGGTTCCGCATTTTTCGCTGCTCGCAAGTTTCACAGTCGACGGGGAAGTTGTCTTGTGTTGTGTTGGGTGGTCCACAAAGCGGCTGCTTCGGAACCCCAAACGCCACAAACACGTATACGTCTGTCTCTCTCTCTCTCTCTCTCTCTCTCTCTCTCGCTCTCTCGCGCTCTCTCCCCCTTGGCCCTTGGCTCATCCGCGTTCAGAAGGAAAGATGAGCATACGGGTGGAGTATACGTAAGTACCCTAGGTCCAGTACTTACGTATTCTCGAGTTTTTGCTTCTACGCATGCACATACATGCTGGTTTATAGGTCACCAAAGCGTAAACCTCCATCCTAAGCCTTAAACCCTAAATCCACTTATTCAGGATCCTGTCAAGCCTCCAAGGTACCCTCGGTCACCACAACAAGGTTCCTTCCTGTGCAGCGTGCGGTCTCTGCAACGCCACAGAGGCCCTTCGGTTGAGGGTTTCAGGGTTGAGATTCGGCCCCCCTTGAACATCTATTTTTGTCACTTTTGGGCTTTGTTGGGAGATCTGGTGGACTCCGAGTAATATACAGGTTCAGGTAGCCCGAAGGACGCATATCCGAATTAGGAAGGTTTCTTTTTCGGCGCGCCTGCTG